TTTTAACGGTCTGGCAGTTGCAAATGTCTGAGAAGTGAATATCCCTGTTGAAACCTTTGTTATAAAAAGGCTAAGCTTTAAGGATATTAAATGATAGCCTTAAATAAATTTTTTCAAGCTTCTTTTCTGTTGACTTTTAATGTGTATATCCCTTCTGCCTATTTTAATTTTATTCTAATATGTTAGTGTCACTGAGATCTTGGAAGTGGTTTGTTTGGAATCATAAAACAAAACCAATGTTTTGTTTTGTCACTTTTTCTCCATAATGATTTCCTGAAAAGAGATGTATGAACTTTGCATTATCCTTAGTTAAAAAAGAAATATTGTAAGATAAAGCTAGAGGTGGAAGCAAGACTGAACAGTACTCATTAGCATCAAATTTTGTTTCTCAGCAAAAGCAGAAGGACAGCTTTGAAAGATGCTAAGTGCAATATACTTTCTTAGAGTGGAAACTCTTCCACCCAGTTTCTTCAGGTTTTATATGATTGCCAAGTAAAACCACCTTAAATGGCCCTGGGATCACTCTTATTTGTGTTGTATTCTTTTCTTCCTTCTTCCTCTGAAAACCATTGTGCCCATCATCTCTTGCAGTTGCACTAAAACGTATTAGAACTACTGTTATTTCAGTAACCTATGCCTTCATTCTGGTCTCAGTGTTTCTAGCAGTCCAAACTCTTTTATACTCTCAGTTGGCCAGGACACATTTTTGTAAGTACAGTAGTAGCTGCAACTCTTTAACAGACTCAGTTGCTTGTATGCACCTATTACTTCTTATGAATCCCAAAACTCCTTTTTCATCCTTTGCCATAATAGCAGCATGCCAGGTATCTATACTAAAATGCCCCAATCGACAGGTGTTGGATCAGAATTGGAACCTATAAATTTGGCTAAGAATTACTAGTATTGCTTTGAGTCTCCTTTGTTTTTCAAATACACCTACAATTTTCAGTAGTAGTCTGGAATCCTCCCAATGTACTATAAAGCACCAATATTCTGTAATTTCACATCAGGACTGATCATACCCAACTTTGCACCTAGAACAGTTTTTTGACAGTAACAGATACTTTTTCTATTAACCCAATTTAAAACTATTAAAACTCAGTTGAACTTTGCTCTTAAAAAAACTATCAGAGCATCCAAAATATCATTGGAGATTAAAAGGGGGAAAGGAGGGAGGAATGTAAATGTGTTGTATGTTTAACCTAATTTGCATAGAGTGGTTTGATACCAAGTACAGTTATACACGGCTGGATCCATACGGTCCAGGCTGAAATGGTACAATTAACTCTTATTTCTATAGACTGAGAAAATGTCTTTAATGTGTTTTACTCCATTATGTCCAGGATATTCTGTATTCTGAAGGTCAGGATTCCTGAATTACCAATTCCTGAATTACCAATTGTTGTGTCTGTCCCCAGTGTACTTGAGTATCTTCTGATGATGGCTTTGTCATCTATGTAAGTACTGTTTTCCACATTTTTACAAATTATGTTTTTATGAACAGAAGGGATATAAATAACTTTCTCAAAGTTATGCAGGTTGCTTGGAACACAACAAAAATATTTAAACTGTAATTTTCTGAGTCCCAATTTAGAGCATGAATCAAAAGACACCCTTTCTTCAGAAATCAGATGAAGTTAAGCAAGCTTCAGAAGTTCCAAACACAAGTTTTAGCAGAACTGGACTAGGAATTAAGTACCCTGAAATGACAAGGTCATTTGGAATCAAGCACAAGGTACGTGCCAAATATTTCTTGTACATACTAGATGTAATTAAGTTAATGGTATAAATGTAAATAAGTAGCATTCACTTCTTCAAAAAATGTCTGTACTAGACAATAGCTATTCACGTCTTCAGGCTGATAGAAAGCAGAATAGCTGCAGCAGTCAAGGCTACAGAGAATTGCTATTTATATTTTAATCTTAATTTTGTACTCTAGTAAGGGAGAGATCTCGCCTTTCTAAGGCCTTTTGCTGTGAGTGGTGTATTTGTAGAAAAATTTAGGAATTTGAGAGTGGCCTTGAGACTGCTTTTAAATAATAAATGTTCTTCAGAGTCCCCAGGCAATGAAGCAACAGCTGTCTGTTATTATTTTGATTGCATTCCCTGTGGTCCTCTGCTTGTATGAGGGGGGCTTCAATTTGCTCTGTACAAGTAAAGGAAGGGAAGTGTGACTGCCTAAGAGAATCTTGCTCAGGAGCACGTTGCTGCATTACATACAGGGATACGCCCTCATCCACTCTCAGAAACATTAATCCTTCTTTCACCCTTTTCAGTCAAGGACCAAAACTGCATACAGCTTGTTAAAATCTAATGTGTGTAAAATCAGGTGTGCATAAGGGATCTTGACTTTTATGCTACGAAGGATGACACTGTTGTGATGCCCCTCTACACCTTGAGTAAGATTTATGTCTACAGAGTTAGGCTATGGATCCCATCTTATGGGAAACACATTGTAAATGTATCATAGATGCAGCTTATGGTACAACAACTATTTTTTTTGTTTGTTTTAATTCTCTCCCCACTGACTTCTTCACTCTACTAGAAAACTGAACCTTATACCTTCTTTAAGATGTATGGAAACAGTACCACTGCACCAGATACTTTGACTTCGTTGTGTATATGCAGTTTCTAAAATTGCATATTCTGTGCATTCATGCACATATTTAGAATCCTCTGTGCTACCCAGAATTCCAGTGACTTTATATTCAAAAGTGTTCCCAATATTTTCTCCTTTATTAACTATATTTGGACCTTAATTCTACAGCTTCCTTCCTGTATTCCAGTCTATTTGTTAAGTATCTGGAAAAATAAGCATGTTAAAGAAACAAACAAAAAAAATTGTAATTAAATATCATATTTCAATTTTCTTTCCCTTTTTTCTTAAACTCTTTTCCTCTGAACGCACACAAAAAAAAAAAAGAACATAAACTTGAGATACTATAACCATTCAACTGTGCTCTGTGGGCATGTGACAAGAATTTTCAGTTGCCAGGAAATTCATTTTTTAAAGAAAAATACATAAACTTGAAAGAACTAAACAACAGCTGCTATTAGCCACATCAAAATGACTGTTCCAATGATAATAACCACAGGAAGCAAGTTGTTTTGTTTTGTTTTCTTATTTGTTTTCCTGATTTACAGTTAACTCTCTTCACAGTACTCTCATTGTAATGATGAATTACCGAACTGTCCTTATTCTATTTCAGCATAAAAAGGAAATTCCTGGGGGGGGAAAGAAAAAAAAAAAAATATATATATATATATATATATATATATATATTTGTTACCAAAAGACACACTTCACTCAATTGGAGCATGAACACTCTTCAGTGCTAACAGCATTTTTGCTTTCTCTTCCTCACAGCATGTTTGAATTGAGCTATGGAATTAGTGTAAAACTTTTTCTAGCACTCACTTTGTCTCCTGTAGCCACATGTTGAGACATCTGGAATACATTATTGCATCTGTAAAACAGACTGTATATATTTTAGTCCCAAACAATTTTGTTGTTGTTGTTCTGCAGAACAGAGCTTATTTTTTTCTGTTTTTCCTATTGGACTTCTCCAGATATTTATGGAGGGAAGATTCAATTAAATATCAGAGCCTTGAGTTCTACTGAGGCTAGAAGCCTGAAAGAGATATCACATCTGGCATGTCCACCAAGTGTTTAGGGAAGCCAGCCTTAAGGCTGAAAGCTGCATTTTGGTTCTTTCTAGTAAGTAGCTCTTCTTAGTTATACAACTTGCTTAACCTTATTCTTAATGAATACTTTTGTGTTCAGCATACAGTATGATGAACAGCTATGGTTTCTCAATTTTTATTGTGTAGCAGCCACTGCTGAATATTCATTTAATTAATCTCTTGGCATCATATTAACACATCTGATTGCAAAAGAACTTCATAGTAGAAAGGAATTTGAAATATTTGGCTGGAAACACTTTTTAGGTCTCAGGCTATCCCAAAAGACAATCTGACAGAGCACCCAGAAGCACGACCATTACAAATATTTTTGGGATCACTGATATTTTGATTAAACAAGAGCAACTTAAGATTCTTCCAAGGTGTAGAAAATAAATGCTAGCTACCATTGCAATTAAATGGAAAGCATATTCTGCTATCTTTACTCTTGATGGAAAATTCAGGTGGTTCTCGGTACACAATGTGGTCCCATAAACTTCCTTAGTATGACCAGAGTCAGAAACACAGCAGACTAATAGACATTTTGGTCTTAGAAACATAAATCCAAATTTGCAAAGGTATTTAAAATTCTGTACCCACTGGAGCTAGCAGAAGCTAGGCATATGTTTTGTCAGTGGAGGTCTTTTCCTTCTTAAAATAATCACTGAGAAACACTAAAAGCTTGCAGATAATCTCTCAATATATTATTAAACTGCAACTTGGCTAAGAAAAGCTTGAGAGTATTCGGGTGCATTTTACCAGAGGACTGAGATTATACCTTGACCATGCTACGCTTTGAGACATAGGATGGTCATCGTTTAAATGCTTTGAACATAGAAAACAAAGCATACATTGGCTGGTTATATGCATGTTTTGATTCCTGCTCACTGGGAAGAGGAAAATTTACCTTAGGGGGGTTGGCTGGTTTCTGTTTTTTGGTTTTTCTTGTTAGTGAGTCAGGCACATAATGGTACAGTGTACTAGATAGATACTGAGTATTCAAATGGACCTGTAAGACTTCTGAAAGTCTATCTAATATGAAAGACTGCCACTTCACTATAATTTTACTTTTTAACAGTCCACCGTGGGCTCACCTGTACAACAAAATTAGCAATAAGCAAGCTGTGAATTTCCATCACGTTAGATACTATGTTGCAAACTTTGTCTTCTGTTGTTAAACTTCCATTTTGCAGACTTACACAACGATCTACCTTTTATGACAAGAACCAGTACTAAAGAATGTAATATTCTTTACTGCATTTTTATCAGTCTTTCCAGAACTCGAGAGAAAGAAGTTCAAAGAGTAGAAACCTGAAATGCTGGTGTTATTATGTCATTAAGAGCTTTGCCGTTGGCGTTTGAAGACAATTCACTTCTGGGACCTCCGCGTGGGCGTTATCTGCTTTCCTACAGAAATCCTTTCAGTGTCAAGGGTCCTTCCTCTCCAACGTATAGCTCTGTTACCCCGCTCACAGCGTTTGAACCGAAGGCGAAACCACAGCTCTGAGAAACCCCGCGAAGCTGCGGAGCTAGCAGGAAAAACGTGATCTCGCTCAGCCCCCAGCGCCTGCCTCTGCTCGCTTCCTGCAAGCGGCAGCCGCCCCGGGCCCCAAGCACCCAGCGTTGCTCCGAGGCCGGTCCCGCGGGCGGCAGCAGCTTCACAGGGCCCCGAGGCAGGCCCTTTGCTCGCCTCCCCTCCCCTCGCCTCGCCCCCGAGCCCAGAACAGCCGCCGCGGCCCCGCCCGCCGCCTCACAGCGCTGCTCCATCGCACCATGAAGGTGAGTCCGGGAGAGGGGGGCCCCGGGCACCCCCTGCTCGGGGCGGGTGGCACAGGTCGTGGGCCCTGTGCGGCTGCCGCCTGACGAGACTTCTCCTTGCAGACCCTCCTGAAGTGGCTGCTGGGGCTCCTGGGGGTTGCCGTTGTCATCACGGTCATCGCCGTGCCCGTGGCTCTGCTCACCGGCAGTAAGTCCGCCGCCGGGCTGGGACGAAGGGAGGGAGGGGTCCCCGAAACTGCCGGGGCTCGGTCTCTGCCGGCCTTGGGGGGGCTCTGCCCCCGCACGGGGGTGGGCTTCGCGGTTGGAGTTTTGCTGAAAGTTTGTACTCGTGCGTTGGTAGCGTTGGCGCTGTGAAACTGGGAGGTACTTCAAGAAGGTGTCTCACCTAGAGGGCTTGGGGGAGAAAATAAAAAGACGCTTAATTCCCGTGTAAACTTAGAAAATGCTAGTTACAAGTATTACGAGTTTCAGCACTTTTTTCCTAGCACAGCTGAAAGCTGTAGAACAGGCAGTAAAATGCAAACTGTTAAGTCCTCTAGGGTGTGTTGAAGAGATAAGATTATACTCCTCCTGACTTGCTTTGTTTGCACAACTTTTTATTTGTTAACATTTATTGAATGAAATTATACAATGCTGTTACAGAGGTCAAAAAAAAAAAAAGTAGGAAAAGATTTGGAATGTGTTTTTGGACTCTGATCAGTTTGTACTTTCCAGGTTGACATTGTAGCTTTGGTGTTAATGTAAAACAGCATTAAATCTTCATCCAGCAATACATTGCTCCCACCTGGTATGGCCAGGCTGCAGATTAATGACTCTCGTTATGTTCTCATGATTAACAGCTGAGCTGTATAATATGTAGAATTCAGCATTGCAAACTTTAAGAAGTCAAAGTATTTTCTAGATCAGACCTCTAGTAGTCTTAAGTTTGTTAGGTTGATCCCAGAAAGTATGAAGATATGTATGTTGATCTTTTTTGTGTGTTCAGAAGTAAATATAGCAATTGCTTATGTGTATAGAACGTTCTGGTGTTTATTTTTATGTCAATTAAAGAAGCAAAATTTGTGTCACTGTACTGTTCATATGGCATAGCTTACATATAAATCTTTGGCGATTCATCTCTGTAATTAATAATATCACAGCCATTAGTAACCAGATTTTCAGAGTCCAGATATCTGGTTTATTTATCTTCTGGGCTTAAAATTGCATCAGTGGATGCACTCTCCTTTCTGCTAGTTTTTGAGTGCTTTTTGCCACTAATCTAAAAAAGCAGATTTTCGAGGTGACAGAAAATACTTTAAGAAGCTATGGAAATCACAACTGAAAAGATCTTAATACTTTATCAGATGCATGTGTACATCATTACATAGTGCCTAGCCAAAGAATTCAGCGTACAGGCCTCTACTCTGCTGAAGGGTTACTACTAGTCTACCTTAATATTAATGCTCTATCTTACTGAAAATCAAATGGGTCTTCTTTCATAGGCTGTAGCACAGGAATCCTTTTCCTGTAGAAGTGGCAGCAATTTAGAATTGGTCTTTGAGTTCTATAGTTAAAAAAAATTAAAGAAGCACCTCTCTTGTATGAAATACAGAATCCTACCATACCATCAACCTTGGCTTGTGCCACTTTGTCTATTGCGAAAGAGTAAGGCAATGTGTCAGTCTTTTTGCTAATGGCTGAAATTAATGAGTGGGAAATTATCTAGCACATCTAGGTAATTCAGTAGGTCCATTTGTCTGAAATAAGGACAGAGACGGAGAGGTGCCAGTTTGAAAACTTGAAGTTCTGACTTTTCCCAAATGAGGTCAGTTGTAACATCTGAATAATAACTGAAATTACTGCAAGTTCAGGAACTTTGAATTTTTGACTGAAAGGTGCTAAACCTGTGTTTTCTGTTAGCTGAGAGTATACAGGTAGTACGCTTATAACTATAGCTCTTCATATGTTAGTGCACTTTGATTACACTGTTCCTATGCATGAAGTGAGGATGCACAAGTCAGGTGAGGATGTCTTCTGGGTCAGTACAGGAACTGACCGGAGTACAAAATGAAAGGTGGCAAAACTGGAAGGAGGAGCAGCAGCTTGCATGACTGTGACTGTGTGAAATCAAAGCATGCTCTGATAAAAGGAATTGTAAATGCAGTCAAATCTTTATTTCATCCTAATGGTTCAAGCAATTGTGCTGGGAGTGAAAATGATTATTGATACACATAGATATTTTGAGTTTAGATTTCTTACCTTTGGTTTTTGCCTTGCCATACTCCTCCATGTACTTTAATTTCATAAGCTTATTAGTCATGCAGCACAAAATTAGTTTGATAAATGGGCTCCAGTGTTTTGAAAGCTTATGGAATTTTGACACTCCAGAGGTGTTCTGGCTTGTTGGCTGGATGATAGGCTTGTGAAATGAAATGTGTTACTTTTGTTTCTTCTCTTGAAGCCATTTGGCATGGGCTAATAATATAAGTACTTCATACTTATATTTGCAAAAATGTTCCCTAATTTTGATTAGGGAACAGCAGCCCTTCAGTATTTATCTTGAGGGTCTTGTTTTGCCACCTTATTTTTATATTTAATAAAATATAGGACTGCTTGCATCAAACAGTTTAATCTCGAAGTAGCTCCAGGAGTCAGTCATATTTGAAGTCTGTTGATGAAGGTGTTGTTATGCCTTGAGGAGCTCTTCAAGAGGTGACTACTGTAGCAACTGGTTACCCTTAAGGCATGAATATTTTCTTAAAACACGTGGCCTGTCTGCTCGTGACTCATTTCTATATTTACTTACACTTCTGTTTTTTCTTACTCTAACTTTTTATACAAAAGGCAGTTCAAAATATCCAGTGGCCATACGCCATTACCTCTTCTCTAGCAGTGGTTCTGGTGGCCAGCTGCTCAGGAAAAGCCAGGAGTGAGAGGATGCTGAGTAGAAAGGAGACAGTGTCATATCTAGTAGCGTTCTGCTGCCACAAGAAATTTACAAACAACATAGAATCATAGAATCATAGAATATCCTGAGTTGGAAGGGACCCTTAAGGATCATCAAGTCCAACTCTTGACACCGCACAGGTCTACCCAAAAGTTCAGACCATGTGACTAAGTGCACAGTCCAATCTCTTCTTAAATTCAGTCAGGCTCGGTGCAGTGACCACTTCCCTGGGGAGCCTGTTCCAGTGTGCAACCACTCTCTCTGTGAAGAACTTCCTCCTGATGTCAAGCCTAAACTTCCCCTGCCTCAGCTTAACCCCGTTCCCGCGGGTCCTGTCGCTAGTGTTAATGGAGAAAAGGTCTCCTGCCTCTCGACACCCCCTTACGAGGAAGTTGTAGACTGCAATGAGGTCTCCCCTCAGCCTCCTCTTCTCCAGGCTGAACAGGCCCAGTGCCCTCAGCCGTTCCTCGTACGTCTTCCCCTCCAGGCCTTTCACCATCTTCGTAGCCCTCCTCTGGACACTCTCCAACAGTTTCATGTCCTTTTTATACTGTGGTGCCCAGAACTGCACACAGTACTCGAGGTGAGGCCGCACCAGCGCAGAGTAGAGCGGGACAATCACCTCCCTTGACCTACTAGCGATGCCGTGCTTGATGCACCCCAGGACACGGTTGGCCCTCCTGGCTGCCAGGGCACACCGCTGGCTCATATTCAACTTGCTGTCTACCACGACCCCCAGATCCCTCTCTTCTAGGCTGCTCTCCAGCGTCTCATCGCCCAGTCTGTACGTGCAGCCAGGGTTTCCCCGTCCCAGGTGCAGGACCTGGCACTTGCTCTTATTGAACTTCATGCGGTTGGTGATCGCCCAGCTCTCCAACCTATCCAGATCCCTCTGCAAGGCCTTTCCACAAATAGTATGCAGACCTGTACAACTGTCTGGTCACAAATCAGTTTATTTTACCCAGACATCTAACTCTGAGAGTGAGATATTGACTAAATGAGAAGGTTTATCACTGTGATAGGTGATACTGTGCATGGGCTGCTGTGCTCTGTTGAGAGGAAATATGCCTAGAAGAGGTTGAAAAAGCGTAACGGGTTCTGGGAAAGTTAATGACTTTGAGGTGTGTGAGAGGAGAAACTTCATGAATTCGAAATCTGACTAGTGAGCTAGTTTTTACTAGTGCCTGGAAAAAAATATAGAGATAAGGATTACTGGCAGCAAAAGTCCAATGAGTTCTTCCTGTCATCCTGGATTTGAAAAATGTTGGGACTGCTGAGACAGCTTCTCGGTTCAAGGACTCGAGAGAGATGAGGTTGCAGATCTTCCTCACAGCTAGTTTAATGTATAACTGAGAGAAGAGGAAATTGAAGCCTCCAAATAGCTCTTATTGTTCTTTTGGGGATGGTCACATATCAACAGTCTTACCCTGTTTATCCTATCTGCAATTTGTCCTATGCTAAGCAGATTTGTGACTGGATGGTGTGGAGGAGTATCTATTGCCTATGTCAACACCCTACTTGCAACTGAAAAGGATGTTTAAAAATACAGAGATGTCTGGCTGATACACGATTCATATTTGAAGACCTGTGCCACAAGTTGAATTAATCTGGTAGCTGTGATCTGTCCCAGTTTTCTTGGGAATAAGGAGTCTTGTATTACCATGATTTGTGAAAGGCCTTTGTTTTAAAGGTGTTCAGGGAGAAAGCTGAACAATGTGTAAATGAATTTTAACCTGTGGGTTAGAAATCGATCTTTGAAGTGGAATTTTTTTTCAGTCTAGATTCAAAAAATAAGGTTTAGACAAGAATCTTGAGTTTGTGTGTTTTTAGGGAAGCATTATATAAACAGTGAGCAGAAGTTATTTCCAGTAACGTAGCTTCAAATGACTTTAGTCAAAATCATGACTGAAATGCTCTCCAAAGTTGTTAGGAAGATACAGTAGGTTAATAAGCCAGTCTGTTGTGAACATACTGTAGATTTGTCTGACCAAACAGTCTCTTATTTTGAATCTGATTGTTGTAGCTGTTCCCTTTTCCCCATTTATTCATACACCTTGCATAGCATTACAGGATCCTCTTAGTCTGAATGCTGTTTTGAGAGAGACACAATTGCTTGCTCAATTTCATCTGAAATTTTTGTCCTCTGAAGGAAGGTAGACATATTTTCCTGCTATATGACCTTGACTTCTCTAGCTGTCATTTAACTCTCTTATCTACCCTAATTTGAGAGTTGAGTAATGCATATAAACAAATTTACCAGCAGTTAGTTGCTATCTATGGAACACTTCTGCTATTTTTATTTCCTTAGTTTGCATGAGATGGGGCAAATGTGGGAGGGATACCAGAGCTATTGATTATCCCTCTCTGGGACAATCTCCACAGCCTCAGTGATACCTGGGGAACTGCCCTAGGTTGGTGTCACTGCATTGACTGGTTGGTTTTCTCTTGGGTGTCCTGCATCAGGTTTCTCTTCTTGCATCTCTCACACTGCTTCTAAACTACATTCTTAGATTTCAGATTGTTCTAGCCTTTGTTCTGCTGTCATGTAAAAATGCTGATACTTTCTCACCTTCTCTGTTTTGTATCATTTCTCTATCCCTTTCTTTCTCACTATTGTTGTCGTGCTTGTACTCATCTTTCCCTTGTGGTTCTTCAAGTCTTTCTTGGTTGTACTGAATGTGAGTAAAGTTTCCGGTGTTATTACTTTTATAGTTTTATTTCTATTTTTAGCTGGTTACATGATTTCTTGCTCTATTGCATGGTATATAGAAATTTTAATAATGTGTCTTGACACAGGGGAATAAACAATACATTCACCAAAAGTAATTTTTGGGTATTGTGCTGTGTTGCACCACAAACTTCATACAATAGTTAACTGTATTTCCTTAACTCTTTTCCTAATCCCTTACACCTACAGAAACCAACTCAATCTTTCTAGTGAGAAAAGGTGAAATGGTTTCAAAAATAAAAACTAAACCTTAAGTTTTTCCTGTTGTGACAGGTATTATGAGGTAACTATTTCTAGTATATCGTTATAACAGCGGTAAATATGTATGTGTTCTTGGGGGGGGAGGTGCAAGAGGGAGAGAATAGGGCAGATATAAAGAGCTAGTTGCTTAGAATGCAGAAAATAGCCTCCATATGAGTTAGACAAGAAAGCAAAATAGCAAGAAAATTCAGCTTTCACAGACTCTCTGAAGAACTGCAGTGAAAGAAGCCATTTTGCTAAAATATGTACAAATATTGACCTGTATCTAATCTTTAATTGCCACTAATAAGTTTTTGAATGTCAACAGGTACTTCATTTTGTCAAAATAAGCCTATTTGACACCTTTTTTTTTTTTTTTCAAATAGAGTCTAAACTAAAAGAACCAAAATGCAGCAGAATGCAATATATAGTCAGTGGCATAATGTGGATAAGTAAGAATATACTGGTAGTGATCTATCTTGCAAATTAAGAAAATACTCCAAGTAGAACTTTTTGACTATACCCTTACAGCTTGGCGTATGTTTTCATATTCAGTTACTATGTGGAAGGTGTTGACAGAAAATGAAATTTTAATTTTGTACACAGCCAACAAATCTTAATTGTGGCCTGATTTTTAGTAATGAGACCTCAGCAAAATATGTATGTCACCGGGGGAGAAAAACATTCAGCAGTTTGGAAAAATCCCTAAACCTGTTCATCAGCCACCTGTCTTAAATTGCTCCTCCTTTTCCAAGAGAGAATTTTGTTGCTTTCTGAAGCCCTTCTAATTGAAAATGACACTTACTCAATTAGGAAGGAGAGAAGTGATATTCCCAACTAGACAACTGTGCATGAATTTCAAATACACACTTGTTCATAATCCATCAAATTAAATATTCAGTTAATATAGAATAATTAACCTGAGAAATTAATATTCTCATGGAAACATCATGAGCAGGAAATCTAGACTGGTGATTTTTAGAACAGGCAAATTTCACATGGAACTGAGCAAGCATTTCTTTTTTAACCTTTGATGAGCAGTCTTAATCTAAAAGCTTTGTTAAGGCTCTTTTACTGCAGCAATAGCTGTGCAGTCTGTGCTGTATATAGGTAATATGCTTATTGTTTGGAAATAAAAATAAAACCATAATAGCTAATATAAATGTCTTTCTGTCATGTTCCATATGTCATATTTATTCAACCTACAGAAAGATACCCTGCAGCAATTGTTGAAGTATTTTTTGTTCCCACCACCCCCCAAGGACTTGTATTCTTTTTTCTTCTTCAGCATATTGAAAGAAGAGACTGTCTGTTGAAAAGTAGCTAAAATACTGGAAATCTCAAAATTGATGGGGGCAGGTTCTTACCCTGACTGATTAGTCAGAACACCTGTACTGGAGTGTTTTTATCAACTGATTTTATCCTGGATATTTTGATTTTCGCTGATAGTAACAACAAAAAAAAATGGAATGATAGTGCAAGTTGAAATAATGAGTGCTTCCCTTCTTTACTGAGTAGATTTGTATGACAGCAGTGTGTTTTTTTTTCAGTTAATAATAATAATAGAGTGAAAGGGAAGCAAGAATTTCAAAAAATATATGTGTATATGTGTTATTCAAACCTTTTAGACTTTGAATAAGTAGCTTTTGCACTACAGCCAGTAAAAAATAAATATAGAAAATGACGGTGGCACACTGGAGCTGATGACCAATCTCAGATACTTAACTGCATTCAGTTTCACTAGTCTTTTCAAAGTAATCCAGTTACTTAGCTTTAATTTTGCAGTCAAAATAGTGATGTCACAACAATCATTAAAATACTTAGATACCTTGATGAAAAACACAGGAGTAAATATTAACCAGCTATTTCATTATAAACATAGCAGTATACATTAATGTGTTTTGTGTTTTTTTTTTTTTCTTTAATCAGATGGTAATTGACAATTTTAATGATTTTTCATTTGAGATATTTCTCAAATTTAAGTTTCATGATAGATGATTCACTATGGAAGAATTTGGGACCAGAAACAGCAAGTCTTATGTAATAAAGTACAGCAACCACTTAATTTTAATATATCGTTCAAGAGCTGTACATCTATTCCCATGGATGCCACATATTCAACTGGACAGCCATGCCTGTCCACCACTCTTTGATGAGCATGTACATCTTTGCTGTACACAACCAACCCCACAATCAATGTCTGATGCAAGTATTAGCAGTCTGGGTTCTGCAGCTAAGTTCCAATGTGTGAGCATAGAGGGGAAAGGCACTAAGATCACTTCTTTTCAATTTTTGAGGAGTACATGTATGTATTTCCTGAGATAAGAAGGATAAGCATTTTTTGTTTATTTTGTCACTGTCAAAAAGGTATTTTTATTAAATCCAAGGATAACAGCTCTAGTGTATCCAAAAATAAAATACCAACAGAGAACAGGCATTCATAATTTTTGTGTTTATTCAGTGATCTCATCAATATTCCTTTAGTTTACAATTGATTAATTTATCTTGCAGTAAAGCTTTATTGCCTCCTCAGTGTTGGTACTTCACACCTGATCAGCTAAAACACATCAATAACCAGCAACAAAAGACATTTGTTTTAGTAGTCAGGTTAGGAAGCTGAGGTGGAACAATTTGTAATAATACCAAATCTCTCTTCTATCACTTTTTCTTTCTTTCAGAAAGTACTGATTCACGAAAAACATACACTCTAGAGAATTACCTGAACAGTGACTATCAGTACACAACACATGATTTGCAGTGGATTTCAGGTAATTTATTTCTATACATAGCATGAATCTGAATAAAATATACTACCATAAACACATAATACTCAGAAATTACTACTATATCCTGAAAAAATGTTCAGTTATTTAATGGTACTTTTACAGAATGGTGCATAGCTCAAAGAGTTGTGATTTCTTTTCCTTAAATACCAGATAGTGTTCATGTTGAACTATTTTCTTGTATTGCTAAAAAAAACATATTTACTCATATTTACTTCTGTGTATAAGTATATTCATATAAGTGTGTTATACTGTGAAGTGTCAGCTTCCTGTGCAGGCTATCAGGAAACAGGGACATACATGGCTCTTTTCCTGCTGCATATGCCTCGTAACCCAAGGGAAAGAGGTGCCAAAAAGTTGAGGCTGTCAGCCCAATTTTGTGAACATTATTGTGCTATAAGCATCCTTTCATTACAAAAGGTGGAAAGAAAATTTTGACCAGATTATTAAATTTTATTTCCTGTGTAACAACAACAAAAAAGATAAATGACTGATGAATGTTTTCCTTCTTGTTTATTGGTATCTCTCGTGTTCTTTTAGGAAATCAGTATCTTCACAAAACAGCTAATGGGGACATCCAACTTTTCGATGCTGCTACAGGAACATCTTCCGTAATCTTGTCAAATACAACATTAGTATGTTGACTTATATTTAACATATGCAGACTTGGGGAAGGTATTAAATTTAGTATTTTATTCTACACTTTTCTCTGGAATCAGTGCTTAATATGTTCTCTTTGCACTTTGTTGACAGGACAAGTACAAAGCAACCACAGTTATATTGTCCCCTGACCAAAGGTTTGCTCTTCTGCAGTACAGCTATACAAAGGTACAAATAGACTACAATTCTCTGAGAATGAAACTGGGAAGTGAAGGTTTGGGAACAACTGAGCAAGAAGATGGTCTTGGAAGTAGGGGTTGTGGAGGCTGAAAGAGTGTGTGGGAAATGCATGAGTTTAGATGAATAAGATGGATGTCTGTAGGGGAACACTGAAGTCTAAACAGACAAGAGGAGGAGGAGATTGATAGTGACTGGCTGGAGGCATCAGGCTTGGAAACTAGAAGAGAAGGGTATCAAAGACCTGTGAGCTTGGCAGAAGAGAAATGACTGTGTGAGTAAAGCCAGATAAAAAGTTAGTGGATGGAAAGATATACAGAGAGTGAAGCTGGAGGGTTAATCTGGGGGGATAAACTAGAATGGAAGACAGGTGTGAGTGTCCAAGGAGTTGTGTGGGTAAAGGAAAAGCAGAGAGATGACAGGCTGCATGCATAAGCTTGTAGATATATCTATCTATCTATCTATCTATCTATCTATCTATCTATATGCTATATATGTGTATAGCATATATATATATGCTATATATGTGTATACTTGTTACATTGACAGCAATGTAACAGCAGGTCACAAAAGTCTTATACTTTTCCAGCTACCCTAGACATCCCCTCCACTCATGATTTATTGTTCTATTATATTTTATTTGTTGCAATCATAAGAGTTAATTTTACTTTAATGCTGAAACCGTCATTTAACCTTTATGTAGTAGTAGGATTGAAAGTTATGTTGTTATTAATATTTATTGCAAGAAAAGAGAGTAACAAAATGAATCATGAGGATGTGGACACTTCTTATGTAATAGCCATCTGGTTGTGTAGTACTGAGATATTGTTTTATATCTTCTTACAAATCTTGAAGAACTATCATAGAAGGTAGCATTATTGTAGCATGTCAACACCGTGGGCTAAATCAAACCTCTTCAGCTCCTCATAGTGAGTACATTTAAATGTGTCTGCGTTATCATCATCATCATCTGTCTCTGTAAGTGCCCCCAGTGATACAGACTTCAAGAAGAAGGTTTCTGAGAGAGAGGGTTTATTTCTGTGACAATATGAATGGAAATAGGAACCCAGGAACTGCTACAGAAATACTGCTGGAACTTGTGAGGACTACTAAACAATAGGATGTTAAGTTAAATAATTCGGTATTATTGTAAAAGCAGGCAGAAGACAATTGTGCCAGTAAGGCAGAAGGAGAAGGATTAACTGTGGATAGTCTTGATAGTCTGCCATATAGTTACAAGAATTTCTGAAAATCTTCAGCATGTCTGGCCTCTGTATTTCTGCACTTAATCAGTCAGTGGCCTCTATCATAGTACTTGAAGTGATGACCCCAGAGGACCAGTGATTCTTTAGTCTTTTCTTAAGCCTTATGGAGACTTACTACTCTTGTAGTTTCATTGTGTTATATCTGTCTTAAGCAGAAATGTGAGGCAGATTTCAGTGATAATTCAAGCTGTAAGAGATTTGTGCCCTGGTGACATTTTTGTTTTCTTAATATTAAATTAATTCTTTTGCAGTTGTGGAGGCATTCCTACACAGCTTCATATTACATCTATGATTTCAATACAAGGTTAGTAATTTTTCCATGAGATATAATTTTAACAGTATTTTTCAAGGAAGTGAAATTTTACTGATTTGTCCTATTTGTGTTTTGTTTCTGTTTTTTCCAGTTCCATCGTAGATGAAACACTACTGCACAATAATACACAATATATTTCCTGGTCTCCTGTTGGTCACAAACTGGTCAGTAAGGATAAGTGAAACTTACACAGTTGTTTATTTTTGTATCCATGACATAAAAGTTCACATCAACTGTGCCCTTGGGCTTTTTGGATTTACCTACTCCTAGATGAAGTAGCTGAACTAGATTCCAAATTGACTGGCTACAGTTGCTGGAAATATTCAAATATCCCTCTGTGTGTTCTGTTCTTTGATGAAAAGGCATTCCTGAAACTGATAGTGGCCCATGGTCTACATAGGAACTTAGTGTTTTTTATAGTGGCAGACAGTAGCTAACCCCTTTCAAAGACAGAAGCATTATGGCTGTCTACTTACTCATCATTTTGACTTTTATCTCCTAATTAAAACAATGAAACCTTATTTGATGGATGAATGTAACAGGGATTAGAGGATCAAAATGTACTCTATACTTACAGTCCGTTTCTGTTTAATCTCCACCCCAATCCATAGTAGTTTTGATAGTCACCGTGTTTCTAAGGCTTGTGCATTCCCTATGTGGATGTTGGATCTGACCTAAAGAGCAGTCATGAGGTGTTTATACATTCTTATTGCTTGTAGTGTAGGAATTATGGAGCCCAGTCACAGCAGCAAAGGTTGTTGAAAAGAGCTTTCTGCATCTCAGAGGGAAGCTCTAGAATAAAACACTGTTGTTCAGTTGTTAGGGAAAAATGGATTGGAAAGGGAGGCAGATGCCAAAAATATAATGGAGTTCTGAGTGTTACTCAGAAATAGACCATCTTTGGAGATCTATTAGTGATTCTGAGACTCTCATCAATATTTTACCAAAATACTCTTTTGATGGAGGGACAAATAAGTAAAGACAAACAAACAATTACTGAAATAAGCTTGTATCTCAAAAGGAAATTAATATGAAGGCTTTCTTGACACTATAATAGTGCCACTTAAACAAGATAGTTTGCTCTTTTGGGGGGGGTTTGGTGTGGGGTTGTTTGTCTTTTGTGTGGTTTGTTTGTTTGTTTCCATCTTGGCATAAAGTCAGGTTGCTATACTTGCTTTGTTTTAGTAATTAATGTTTGTTAAGTATCAGTGATGTTTGGCCAAATGCAAATTCAAAAGACAGTTTTTGCCATCTGAAGTAAAAGTAAATAGCCCATTAAATGTGGCAAAGGTGGGGAGCAGATTAACTGTGACAGAAATCATTATCACAATGATGTTTTGCAGGCATATGTTTGGAATAATAATATTTATATAAAAGCTTCACCAACAGCAGCACCTGTGCAAATCACTAGCGATGGAGAAGAAAATAAAATTTTCAATGGAATACCAGATTGGGTTTATGAAGGTAACTACATCAAGCACAATTTACTTTGCATATCATAGAATCATAGAATATCCTGAGTTGGAAGGGACCCTTAAGGATCATCAAGTCCAACTCTTGACACCGCACAGGTCTACCCAAAAGTTCAGACCATGTGACTAAGTGCACAGTCCAATCTCTTCTTAAATTCAGTCAGGCTCGGTGCATATGAATACAAAAACTTGGTTTTGCTATACCTGTTTTATTATAACTGCTATATCTCATTTCTTATAATTGAAAAGTTCAAAATAATGCAAGTCTGCATATTCACAGAACCATGTGTCCATACCTGAGCTTTATATCTCTTTAGCATATCTAAGAACAGAAAGGAGTTAGCTTAACTTGCAGCAGGTCACTAAAAATTGTAGTGTGTGAATGAGCTTCATGTGATAGATTATGAGCACTGATCTTTTTCTCATTTCAGAACTCCAACAAGCATTCTGTGCTTTGGTACTTCAATTAAAAAAAAAAAATCCCATTAAAAACTAATGAGAACAATTCTTCAGATATAAGAACAAACTTATCAATTGTAATTTAAATGCATTTGCATCTCTTTCAGAGGAAATGTTTGGCACGCATTCTGCTCTGTGGTGGTCTCCAAATGGCAATTCTGTGGCATATGCAAGATTTAATGATACAGAAGTTCCTGTTATAGAGTATTCCTTTTATTCTGAAGACACCTTGCAGTATCCAAAGACTATTCGAATTCCATATCCCAAGGTCTGTGTTATTTATTTAACACAGTTGTTCAACAGTTTCATTAAGGGAGTAGTCTCATTTAATCAGTTTCTGCTAATGAAAATATTGTCTGTCTCTCCTCAACAGCTTGCTGTGATTACTCTTTCTGAAGTCAACAGCATCTGGCAATATTAAAGTATTTATTATCTCCAGGGGAAAGCAAATAATAATAATATTAATAATGGTTTGTTGTTTCACCACAAAAATTTTGAGAGGTGGCAAGTAGGTGTTGAGATAATGAAAGATCTTAGGTAAAAGCATTTGGCAGTTCAATGTTATATTCGTGTTGCGCATGGTATTGAGAATGAGATCTTCAAATAATGCAGTTTTTTTCAGTTCTTATATGCTTCGTATGTTGGGACGAAGGGGAAGAATTTGCTTACCAAATTTCTTTGCCCATATCTAAAACTCTTTCAATTCTTGCTGTGAGTGAAAACTTTTGTGCATGCAGCTGCTTCTTCCCTGCATGTGACTGTGCTCATTGCTCATGGCACAGTTGGCACTGGACTAAATGGTGTGAGTGTCAGAGTCCAATATGCTGCAGATGGGTTCTTTCAGACATTCCACACATGGAGTGCTTAATGTTTAGTACAACATTTACCTATTGAGGTTATTTGATGTTCCATGGTATTTTGATTTAGCAGAGAGATGCAGCAATACACTTAAGACATAATGCAATTACAAACTTCACTTTGAGTACAACAGTTGCACTGCACTGCTGAATCACAACACAAATAGGGTTCTTATTACTGGTCTTTATAATAAGTAAGTGCACTGCTATAATGCTGGGCATCCCCAGTTGCCAGGAAGGAATACATGGGTTGAAACCAGCTCAAGCCCATCTCTTTGTTCAGCATTTTCTGCTCACCACATTTTTTCTATTCTGTGATGGGGAAAGATAGCTATGTATCTCCTGCTGTGCTGGTCTGGCCAGCTCAGGAGGATAGTTGCACTCTTGATTAATGGGCAAAACAGCTGATATAGGCAGCTGATCCACTCAGCTGATTCAGATGTTTATCTGGAGTAAAAATGACCCTCCAATCCCCTTTGCGTTGAATTCAGCTTTCTCTGTAGCAACTGTGTTAGGTTTCTCCCTAGCCTTCCCCAGTCTTCATGATCATGTTGCCTTTGCCTGTCTCCTTGGAGCCTCCTCCACATGGAGTCATTGGTGGTCACAGCAAGCAGCTGGGCTTACTGATAACCACAGGGATTCTGCCCTGAGCATGCCACCTGTGAAGAGATGTAGGTGTAGCAGGTGTGGAATGAACTGCCAAATTAAGTAGCACCTTTTATTGCAAGCCCTTACTGTTTGAAGTATTGCTGACTTCTGGACATAGGTCAACTACAGCTAGTTAACTGTTACCATGAAAACTTCACTAGCTAACTTGCATTTCTAGAGAAGAAGCCCTTAGTGACACAGTTACATCGCTGTTAGAACCTATTAGCACTACATTAAAAAAAGTGGGGTACATGCTGCAGCCACAGCTTTGATTATGGTATAGGTGGCTATTATATAATCAGTTAACGTAAGGTATCAGTCTCCATGAGGAATCACTTTTCTGTCTGTTAACATAACATTTAATTTAATGCTAGATACTGTGTGGCATGTGAGACAAGACACTGGTCAAATATTGCTGTGGGTACAGCAAGTCCTGTGTAATTATGAATGTTTCTAAATGTAGTAGTCTTCCTTACCTAGAGTCACACAGCTAGCACTTTAATTTTTTTTTAAATAAAGGTAAATTATGTATTTACTTTAAAAACTGCATTTGGGAATTCATCTTTTCATGTGTTTGAAGTTAGTTGATTCTACCTGACTGTCTATAGTAATTTCTTTTGTCTATAGTTTCAAACATTATTATTTTTTTTTGTCAGGAATATTCTGTTTTTGAAAGTACAACGAAATATTTTATTTTTAGGCAGGAGCTAAAAATCCAACAGTGCAATTCTTCATTGTGAATACGCTGGTTCCTAGTTTTGACTCTGTTGAAATTTCTCCACCTGAAGAAATAAGATCAGGGTAAGAAATTTTGGTTGAATGTTTGCATGTTTCCTTTGGTGAAAGAGGAGGAGCTTTTATGTGTGACTACCCTATCTTCCTTCAGTTTATATTGTCATTTGACCCAGTCATGAGGCTCTGGTAGCAACAAGATTTACCAGAGAAAATGTGCACACAGATTATCCTTCTAGTGATTATATATAGATGGCATATTCCATGTATGTTATATTCAGAATGTGACAAGTTCTTGGCTCATCACACTCAGTGGAGTCTAACTATGGTGAAGTCATTTCACAGTACAACTTTAATGTGAGCAAGTTTTGGTATAATCAAATTATAATGTATGTATTCCAATTCACTGGAAAGAGGAAAAAAAAAAAACTTAATGGAAAGTGAAGATTTGATTTCATTGGAAGCAGACTTCTTGCTGAGGCAAGGTATCATGGTTGTCTTCTGATTTATACTTAAAATGTTTGTTTTCTTTGGAAACATGGTGAAAACCAGCACCTCTCAAAGTAAATGGAAAATTGTATTTCTCAAAATGCCACTGGAAATGCACAACATGATATAAACGTATTTTGTAAAGAGCAGCTAAATTGATTTAAAATGCATGCATATGGGAATTGGTATCCTAGATCTTGGTTTTATTTTCTCTTTTTAACAGCATCGTAGTGATTTTTAGAGGTTTGCACTTATGAAGATGTTTGGTGTGGAAGCAATCACAGGGTATATTGATAAACTTTGCGGGGGGGAGGGGGGAACAGGCCTGTTAGGTAGTGCATGAAACTTCGTTTTGTACTAGATGACAAAAAAGTTATAATTGGAATATCAATGGTATTTCATATCAGTCCTCACCAGTATAACGTCTCTGTACTAACAGAAATACACAAGTTTCTATGAATGTTGTTCTGTACCCTTATTAGGATATTTTATTTTTTGACAAGGAAAGCTTCCAGAATCTGGAATGGCTTTGTTTTGCTGCTTTAGGATGGTAGATGAAACCTGTTACTTTTTGTGTGAATGGCCAGCATGAAACCCATGCAGCATTTAAATACCATTTGGCATCATGGGTACAGGGGGTTCTTGTTGGTCAACATGAGGATGAAGGCAATGAATGCTGCTTGTCTGAAATGATTTGCCCTAAAAATAGGAAGTAATCAGAGTAAAGAATTCTGGGTGGTGATTGCAGGAATATCTTTTCTAAGCAGCAAATGAGGAAGGGCTACGCAAAACTGCTATAATGTATTCTTCAACGTAATTGAAAATTTATATTTCATGGGTTGTTGAAAACTGAAGGTGCATTCCTAATCTCTGTAATAAACTTAAATATTTATTATACTTACAAGCATTTCTCTCTTTCTGTGTTTTGTTGTTGTTTGTTTTCTTTTAGTTTATTTTCTTTTACTGTTCATCCTATTTGATGGATGATTTCTAGTATTATAGAATAATTTGGGTTGGAAGGGACCCTATATACATTTCCATACAATATACATTTTCATACAATTCCAAACCCCCTGCCATGGGGAGGGATACCTGCCACTAGACCAGGTTGCTCAAAGCTCCATCCAACCTGGCCTTAAACACTTCCAGGGATGGGGCATCCATACCTACTCTGGGCAACACGTGCCAATGCCTCACCACCCTCTGAGTAGAGTTTTTTCCTAATATCTAATCTAAACCTACTTTTTTTTTTTTAATTATTTTTAAACGATTACTAGTATCTATAAATGTTAACTTACCTAACTTTGAAGCAACAAAAACTGTGCAGCTACTTCCCCTTTTACAAATCAAGAGAAACTACTGATTGATTTCCAAACAAGCTCCTGCAGAGATCTTTTGTAACATTACTGGTCTGTTACTGTCATTGAAGCCACTGACAGCAGCCATGTTAAATGTCCTATAAACTTACCAGTCAAATATAAATGCAAAAGTAGACTTTTTTTCAAACATGATTTTGAAGCTGCAATCTAGAAATAAACCTAAAAGTGGCTGGTAACTGGTTGGCATATATTTTTAATCCATCCATGTTAATTGTAGTCTTTTCCACATTTTTTTCCACTTCCTTTTTTTTTTTTTCTTTCCCTCTTCTCTCTTTCCCCCATTTTATGATCATGAAGATATTCGCTCTCACAAAACTTCCCACGCATTTTTGTTAACTAACTTTGGGAAAAAGGGAACATGAACTTGGAACTAAGTCAAATGTGCAAATTCTGGTTGAAAATGCATACTTGCCTTGGAGGGGAGGTTTATTTTATTTTAGTTCATAAGGCTTCTAGGAGATAGGAGAGATCTAAAATAAGAAAAGAAGAGTACATCTAACAGATCGTAATGGTAAACAAATCACTAAATTTTATGTGGTATTATTTTAAAAATAATATGCAAGAATATTCAAGGAAATGATCCATGATTTTTTTATTATTGTTTTTTGGATAGTCCAGTAGTTCATGTCAATTATTTGGTATTCTAAAGATGAAAGCAAAATATTCAAATAGTAATATCTGTTGTTGGTGTAATCTCTCCTTCCAATTCTAACTAATGGAAGTAAGTACTAAATTGAATTAAGATGTGTATTGCTTCAAGTGCTTAGCAGCAATCAAGTTAATGCAGCAAAGATTAAAATTCCAAGATACAAGGCCCATACAACTTAATATTAAGAAGAATTTCCTTTAGATACATACAGTACATTGAATTAAGTCCATGTATGGACTGTCTGGAGTAGCTGTTATTTCATGCACCAGAGAATAGTGATCTGGCTGCTAGGATTTAATTGCAGTCTTCCTGGAAGTGTGTATGTACAAACTATAATTCTTTTGCATTTTTTGTATGAGTAATAATAACCAATGCATCTGCTAACAACAAAAACAATTGACAACAACAAAAATGCCACAATTAGGTTTGCATCAGTGTTTATCCTTGGAAGAATACATTAAAATGAAAATAGCCAGATGAGTTTCATTCACTGAATTACTGAATGTTATTGTATAATATATTATTACAGATAGGATTTTAAATATTTAATGCTACTGCTGTTTTTAGGGATCATTATTTGAGCGTTGTAACGTGGGTGACAGATGAAAGGATCTGTTTGCAGTGGCTCAGAAGAATTCAGAATTTTTCAGTCCTCACAGTCTGTGACTTTGAAAATACTACTAGAAATTGGACATGTCCACAGGTGAGAAAACTGAGGTGGGAGAGTCACAATGTTTGATAAATGAGACTAGATAGGAGTAGAGTATCTCTGTATATTTATCTTTGTAGAAACATAGGCTGCTATAAAATAAACATAAATGTTGTGGGATTGTTTGTTTTATCTTTCTTAGGAAAAACAACGTACGGAAGAAAGTACAACTGGCTGGATTGGCAGAGTGAGTGTTCAATTTCTAAAACTGCAACATGTTAAATAACACTGATAATTAAGAAATTTTCTTATGAGCTTCTTACCAGTTGCAATGTTCTTGTGTGCAGGTCTGATCCATTCACTCATTTCATTTTACCCACATAGGAAAAAATGGTCTTAAACAGAGTCATAACACATCCCCATTCCCTTTTTTAAAATGTTGTGGGTATGGCTTTCAGAACTCCCTAGTCTGGGCTGATAGTGCGCTGTGGGCTCAAGCTGTAACATCCTCCGTGACCTGTGCATCACGTTCAGTTTGTCAAAAAGCAGAGTGCTCCTTCCAGACACTTTTTTGATTCTGACCTATTACTTCAGTAATGGTAGTTAGGAGAATACAGGAGCCACGATTCAGAATTCCATTTATAATGGGGGAGTTGCTAGCTATGCTGGTTTGGCTGCTATCCAGTCTTTCTGCCACCTCCAGAATGATCTAGGGGATAAAACATTAAGAAATGTATCCCATAACCTTCAAATTGAATTGGAGGGGAGGTTTAGAGGACAAGAATCAATTTTAGTGTTTCAGGTTCTCCCTGGTTTGTTCAGGAACAAGCAGTTCCAGGTTCTCCGTGTGTTTGTTTTCATTTTTGTTATTCTTTTGTTTTGTTTGCTTGTACATTTATTTATATTTTTCCTCAACCCCAAATATCCATTGGAGAGAACTGGGGACAAGATGCATACAGCTGACCAGATTAAGACTTTCACACACTTCTGCCAAAGCAATTGCTACTGTCTGGATGATGTTTTCGAAGCTGCCTCTCAATCCTTTTGTACATGGTAGAGAGTAGGCACCTAATGAACTACACAGAAGATCTGGGGGAAGTGAAGCAGAGATGCAAAAGTTCAGACTTGGAGGGAGAAATGAGTTTCAGAGTTTTTGATGAGAACACAGAGTACACTTTCCACTCCCGCATTTTCCACACACTGATTATGCTTTAGTCACTAATTCACTTTTGAAGTCAAAAATGAAAGTTTAAAGAAATGCAAAGAGGGAGGCAACAGCAGGGATGAAATCATCCGCAGTATGAAGATGAGAGATCAACCCACCTGCTGTCAAATTTGATATGGAAAGGAAGGCCTTAGCGCTGACACATTTTGCTTCTCTGCAGCAAAGGCTTCACAATTAGACAATGTGATGATCAAGCTGCAGACTTTGTAAACAGTTGTGCAAAATGAGAGGGCAAAATGCGAGTCTGTGCCATTAAACTAGGTTGTTGGTTTTTTCTTTCTTTTAAAGAGACAGCCTACATCTTAGGAGCTGTTGGAAGGAAAAGATAATCTCACTGTATGGTTCTTGGATTTGAGAAGGGAGCGGAAAGTAGGGAGGATCGAAGAGTGGATAAGAAAGATATCTTTATGGCTTTACTATTCTTTCTACTTACAGATGATAAAATGACACTTGACTGATAAGGCATGTTTTAAAATATATAACATATATGTATGCATGTGTGTATATACACATGTATTTATATATGTTTCATATGTTTTATGTACAAATTTATGTATACATGCATGAAAATGTACTTCTCTCTTTCTTTATATAACAAGTATTATGTTTTTTTATAAAATAGAGATGAAATTTTACTTAATTTAAGAACACTCAGAACTTTCACAGCCTGTGTTACTGCAGTAAGGCTTCCAGTTCATGAGCTAAGTAAGAGCTTGCTAGTTGACTTGAAGGAAAGTCACCCTGTGAAAAAGCAAGACTGTGGTAGGAGAGAAACTAGCGAAGTATTTGTCAGGGTGTTTTGTGCAAAAATATTGCTAGGAAAGAAGGTGAAACTATCTGGAGAATGTCTGTGAGGGTGTCTCAAGTTTTGTTATTGTTTACAGAGTGACTGGAGGCAAGAGACTATCTTTCTGTTTCACTTTTCATTTCAAAAATGGGTATAACATCTCAGAGCGATTGTGATGACTCTGTTGGCTAATTAATGTTTAGATGTTTTGGACACATATCACAGAAATAGCTTTTATTTCACTTGACTCAGTTTCATTCCTGTTTTTCTCTTTACTATGTGGAGCATATCCAAAATACAGTCAGTAGAAAGAATTAATTCATTTTCATCCCTCCAATTGATAATTGGATAGCTCCTTCATGAACATATCATTCCAGTTTGGCTCCTCTGGTGTTTTGTATTCACCTACTTCCTAGATCCTCTTGAAAAGCATCTTGTTGTCTTTGTAAAAGAGGGGAACTTTTTCATTGTCAAGCTTACAAAAAAAAAAAAAAACTTCAAAGTTCAGAGATGTGTTCACACAAATGTGTGTTTTAAAATGGAAATTCAAAGAAAATGTGCTCGCAGTGTTTACATTGCTACAGGTCACAGCTTCATGTTGGACAGAATAAAGCAATGACTTTGAAGGTAGAAGCGTGTATTGTTTCCTTCATTTTAGGAAACTAGGAACAGCTATAGTTCAAGAGAAGGAAGGGCATCCATCATTACCAGAGAATTAATACTTGGGAAATTCTGCCTCTAAGGTGCTAGGAAATATTTTAAGTGTTTTTTACTGTCAGGATATTAGCTGCAGGTTCTACCTACTAAGTCAGCAGGCAAAATATCTCAATGAAATATTGTTTTAAGTATTGAAACTTCTGTTTAGAGATAGATATCAAAACCTAAATTTATCATTTTGGTTTTGGAGTTTTGTTGTTTGCTTTAATAGACATCTCTCTGGTGTTCAAGTTTCAGCCATCTGCCCCTTACTTTGCACCCGACAATACTACCTACTACAGAGTATTCAGCAATGCAGAAGGATACAAGCATATCCATTACATAAATGGCTCAGAGGTAAGTTAGAAGTTGTAGGACTGCCACTTCTGACTGTTGTTTCTGCTGGTGATCAAGGATCTTCATGTTCTAGTTCTTATCTTGCCTTTCTTTCCCTGTCCAGGCTCCGCTACCTATTACTACAGGAAAATGGGAAGTGATCAGCATAGCAGCTGTAACCAATAACTTTTTGTAAGTATTGTAAGTAATATATGGGTTCTTATCAGGAGGTCTTGTAACAATGAAGTAGGAGGGAGAACAAGAAGGTGCTATTTAATTTAGTAAAAATCTGATCTAAACGTGTGAGATAATCCTTTAAATATTGCAATGTGTTTTAAATACTTTACCAAAACCAATGTTTTGCTCTTCTAGGTACTACATTAGTAATGAAAATGGTGGGGCTCCAGGAGGAAGAAATCTTTATAAGTAAGAAATATGTTCTACAGTATGAGTAAAAACTTGTTAGTGAAAATTTTAAGAAAAAGTGTTATGAAGTAAAAGATTGGGATGTCCACAGTCTAATGTGGGATTCTATATATGATATTTAATTAAAAGCAATATAGAAGTATGAACTGTAAAAAAAAAAAAAAAAAAAAAAAAAAGAAAAAAGTAGTATTTTTCTGTAAATTTAGTTGATAAAGGAAAATTGTGAAAAGAAGCAACAATCCTTAAGCAACCTGCCCCTAAAGAAAACCTCTCATGCTTTTACTTTTGCTATGATAATTCCAGTATTAACTAAAAACAAAAAATTAGAGACTGCTCTATCTGTTATTTATGTCAATAAGGGCATTGCTTTTGAATTGTATCAAATTTCATTGTCATCTTATTTAAAAACATATATTTTTGTTGAGCACAGTTTAAAAAGAAGTATTTTATCTCTGAAATGAAGCTCATCTACTTTGCAGAGTGCTCTTGGAAAGCAGTCCAAATCCTACTAAATGTGTTAGCTGTGATCTGAATCAAGAAAGATGCCAGTATTATTCTGTGTCCTTCAGCAATGATGCACAGTATTATCAGTTAAATTGTCATGGTGAGTACATCCAGAATTAATTGACATAAAAATGACTCGCTGTTTAGTTGGGTGGGGAAGTTCACTTTTTCAAGATCTTGATACACGCTGTGTAACAATTATGTGTGTTGATATTGTTGGATAGATGCATTGGCAGCAGAAAAACATACTCCCTCCTAGGCTTAAAAGCACCTTAATAACAATTACAAGGTTAAAAAATGATAGTCCGATCCATTAATAGACCTGAAAGGGGTGACAAAACATTCCTGTCCTTTGTGCAAGCCTGAATCTCCTCAGGAGCTGCCCTTATAATAGGTGCCATGTACAATGTTCTAAAAATGATAGTGAACTGCATCTACTACAGAGCATGTTGAATGAGCAAAACCAGCCTATCCTTCAGATTAAATTTCCTTTATCACAATTGTTTTGTGACAAAGGGAAGTAAAGCCTTACTTCAGGGCCAGATAATAGATGGAAATTTCTCTGCCAGTGAGGCATTTGCAGACTGAAAATTAGTGGTAATGCTCTGCAGGAAGATTTGCTTCTTTTTTTGCAGACTGTTCCTATAGAGCACTGCACACAGTTGTGCAATCTGAGGGAATGTGCTGTGCATGGAGAGCTCTGCTGGTAGAAGCAAATGGGAGGAAATGTGAGGGCAAGGCAAGCAACAGGCTGGGTGAAGTTATCTGTGGGAACAAACTTAAGATAGGTAGCACTGTTCAAAGAATCCAGTGAGTATAAACATCTGTTATGCATTGGGACTGCAGTCCCAGTGTGTTTGTACTAGGTAAAAGGGATAAATTAATCGGAGGTGGGGAAAAATAAGATCTTCCTTGAAATTTCCTCTTGAAAAATATGTATCTCAGTACCTCACTATCACATGGTTTGCCTGCAAAATTGTTTGGGTGTTTTATGTGTTGCTGTGGTTTGAGTTTGGGCCCCAATAACTGAAAATGCAGTCTCTGCAGATTGGATGGAAATGCATCCTGAGCCTTTGTGATTCCCCGACTTCCAATTACTTTGAGAGTTTTATTTTGAGACAGCGTGCAAACATTAAGGTTTTGTGTTTTGTTAACAGGTCCTGGCCTGCCCATGTCTACTCTGCACAGAAGCAGTGATGACCAAGGTGTGAGATTGTCTTAAATTATGATTTGTGTTAAACCAGGAACTTGCACTGAAAATTTATTTTGATTTTATTCTCATTGCTTAGTATAGTAATTAAAACATCTCAGTTTTGTCTGAAATGAAATTTACCCTTTCTTTCTCTACTATTGTTTACCAAAAGGATAAACTATATAGCTCAGCATGCATTTATTTGTACATTATTTAACATTATTTTACATTGTGCTAGAAAACAGTAACTGGTGCATGTCTTCTTTACTGCATAATTGTTCATTTTTTGTGAAACTGCAGTTAGATGGAAAATGCAGAAACTGATAAATTACTGAAGAAAAACTATACTGTAAACATTGAATTATGAGAAGAAAAACAAAAACTGCAGTAAACTGAGACTGCAAAGTAGGTTGCCGTCTTTTCAATTTGAATTTTAAAGTGGTTCATAATAAGAGAGTAATGTATTTGAAAATAAAATGATTGTTCTTTGACTCTTACTAAGTCTGTTGTTTAGTCCTCAGGTACTTGGAAAATAACACTGAACTGGACAATTCACTGAAAGATATTCAGATGCCTTCAAAAAAAACTGATTCCATTACTGTAGGTGGATACAGTAAGTTCAAAAAACACACTTTACTTTTTTCTCCCCATTGTTCCAAGTGTTTCAAGCTCCTCTGCTAGAAAGCATGACTGAAAAGATGGGTGTAACAAATATTTTTGCAGTTACTCCGTACTTAAGACAAGACTTCTTTTTTTTTAAATCCCCAAACATCCTGATATAAAATATAAAAAAGAAAAAATCTTTTTTTTCCTTTTTTTTTCCCATAGCATAGTATCTTGGAAATTTTCATGATGCGGCTTAGCTCCCCTTTCTTCAATGATAGTTACCTGAAAAATATTAGCCTTTACCACCAACTTTTTTTTTTTTTTTTTTTTTTTGGGGGGGGGGAGGGGGAGGAGGGCATAAAGTTAATAAGCATGTTCAATTAAGTTACGTATTCAAGTGAGCCTTAATTTATGGGCACAAATATTTGTTTGGTTACAGCAGGTGGGGACAGTGGAGAAGAAATACAGTTATTATTGAAAAATGAACATGCAACGTAAGAGAAAGCTTACAAAACTATTTAGGCTACACTTCAAGATTACCTTTGACTTTCTGTTGGAGAATATTTTGATTGAATAGTCACATTGTTGAAAGCATGTTCATGCTTCAAGATTGCACCAACTTGTGAATAATGAAATGTTAGAAACTGAACCAGTAACACTTTGCTAATAGTGCTAATATTTGCATGTCTGGGTACAGATGCTTCCTTGGCATGCTCCTTGGCTGAGGAACATCAGATAGAATGGCAGTGGTAGGCCTGGTACCTGTCTTAACTGTTCTTGCTCCAGCCTTTGCTGCTAGCTTTTCTCTTCATGACAATCTTCTTCCTGATAAATTAATGTTCTTAATGAAATTATATTTTACAAACTGTATTGATTTCTCTCAATGATTGTGAACTGTTCTTTTTGATGCCTCCCTCCTTCCACTGTTACCTTATTTATTTAATAACTGTCTTTATCTTTGTGTTTTCTGTCTTTTATTTTAGTCACGTTTTTACTAGGGCTAAAGATGAAATCTTCCAGGCAAGATGGAGGTTTAAAGAGGAGGTTTCGTGCTGTCAGTTGTGTATTCATCTTTTTATTCTTCTTTGTTCTTACTACTTCATCTCTTCAGGGTAGAAGCTTTTGGGTAAGGGGAATCTATTTTTAATGTCACAAATAGTCCATTTATGTAGTCCTACTTCAAGTTCTGAGTCTGCTTGCAAATCCGTGTGTGTACTTATAAAATTAAAGATGACTCCCATGATTATAGAGTACACAGATGATGGAAAAGAAGAAGTTAGGTGAAGACTTACCTTTTTTTTTTTTTTCAGCATTTTGATGCCTTGTATTTTCATATCAGGACGAATTCCTTTAATACTTGCACTCTAGCCATTAATGCAGTGCATCATCGTTATTTCATGCTTCCTTTTCAGTATCCATCATTTTAAGATCAATGAGCCAATCAATCAAGCAAAAAATGAGCAGATCAATCAAACCGATTGCAAAACTTACCTGGTGTGCATTTAGAATAATAAGCTAATTCACTGACACCTTTGGTAGAAAAAGTAACATGGATGGAATCAGAAAAATGTTGCCTGAGAAATAGATATTTGGGTATGTTTCTGTGATGGTTTGCAAACTATTGTGCAAACCTATCTGGAAGGTAGATAATATTTAGAATTTAGTGCTGGGAGAAAAATTAGAGTAGAGAAACGTTTGTGAGCTAGTGTTAGATTTCCCACTGCAGACATACTTAATTTTACATGTAAGTGTATAATGCTACAAGACAGCATGTTGATTTCCTAAATATTATATATATTTATTTTTTTTTTAAACATTCCAGTTATAGACTTTCTGCTAACTTTGCTGTAAAATATTACTGACTAGCTAGGAACCTTTCTTTATCTGTATATGTTAGGACAGTTCAGACAAAGCTATTTTTAATTGACTCAGATGTGTCCTTGTATAAATTACAATGCATGTTGAATTTTTTCACTGGAGAACTGACCAAAGTCACACACTCTTCATTTTCAGACTTCTGGTATCAAATGATACTGCCTCCCCATTTTGATTCATCAAAGAAGTACCCTCTGCTCCTTGAAGTGTGAGTATTCGAGATACATGGAAATTTCATGTTAATAATCACTTTTATGTACTTCAGATTCTCTTAGTAAGATAAGAAAACATGCCAATTACTTCTTGAAGGAATTTTAAGAGAATGAAAATGAGGTGCATCCCAGTTTGTGATAGATTCCCGTACCCTGAAATGATGTAATGTTTATCAAGTGCCTATTTTGCAGGTGGCAGTGAAGCAGGTATATTCTGTATCTTATTTAAAAGCCAGGATGTTAGTGTTAGCTTACCACCTTCTCTGCTCTTAGAGTTCCTTAGGAATAATCTTGAATGAAACTACATTCCAAAATTAAACCTTTAATAAGCTATTTATCTGAACGGTAAAGTCATAAGTATGGCATTGCATTTTCTCTGTGATGTTTGACAGTCGACTGTTGTTGACAAACTGCATCCTGTGGTCAAAATTGTATTTGTTGTTTTTTCTTAAATTTTAGACCTTAGAAGTCATAATTATAAGGTTTTAAGATTTAGCCCCTTCCTTGTCCAAGTATATCTGCTAACTGAAAACCAGATTTTTGTCTGTGATGAAAAGCAAAGATGTATTTTTATTTTTTCTTTCAAATATTGGGCACAGCCTTTCCTTTATCAACTCGAGTAATCTTGGCTTGTCTCACTTTCTCAAAATATTATGTGAAATCCTGGGAGAACCTATTAGTCAATAAGCAGTGTTGTGAAGTCTGGAGGAAGTGTGCTAAGCCCTTAACTTTAAAGTTATGTAGGCTTAATAAACAATGTAAGTGTACCTTCAGTGCCAGTCCTGTATGAGGTGAGTGATGATGTGCAAGCATGGATGCTCATCAGCAATTGCCCAAATGTTGAAGGGTGCAAACCTAAGAAGCTGCTTTGGCTTTGCTGCTTGTTTACTGTATGAGCAAGTTGTGCAGCAGCATTGTAAGGAAGAAGTGAGTAGCTCAGGAACCATTGTCTTTTGTCTGTGACTGCTTCTGGAGCACCCCCTCACTCTGCAAAATATCTGTTGTATCTGCCTTCTACATTTTGGTAAAGTGATTGTCTTGCAGCTTACCAAATTCAAGGAGTAAGAGAAGAAAGTGAGATAAGGTATGTCAGGTCAAGCCAGTAAATAAGCTAATACAAACTTTACCATGGCTTGCCTATCCCTGTGTTAAAACGATGAAAAAAAAATTCACAAAATCATTTTTTTGTCGAGAAAAGGAAAGCTGCTAAATCTGAATTTAAGATGTGAGAGTTATTTGCAGTTAGGTGAACAAATGACCAGACCATTATTCTACTCATTTTTTTTCTATTCTGAGAAGCAAACTAAAGCATAAAACAAGATGTGTCAAACTGCAAACACGTGCTTTTTCACCCATTCTTCCTCAAGCATTTCTGTTCTTGGTGGTATGTTTTCTTCTAACTGGAAATTACTGAAAATTAGCAATTAATTACAACAGAAATGTTAACCTTTTCCTTTGTTTACCAAGAGATTATTCCTCAAAGAAAGCAGCTGTTAATTTTTAGATACATCTTTATTACAATGCTACCAAATTATATTATATAATTTTTGCCTATTTAACCTTTTAATGAGCAGTTAGTGCTCTTTGCTTGTTAAGATTTCTTTTGGTTTTGGTTCTGTTTTTATCAACTTACCCTTGCCTTTGTCGGGATCGCTTCTGCTTCATAGTGATCTTAAGAAATTCCTGCAGCAGTGAGAGGATCTGTACTGTGCAGAAACAAAGTTAGATATCGAGAATTCCTAATAGCTTTTCTTTGCTTTCAAAACTGGGAAAAATGGGTTGTAGAGCAATAAGAGCCACTTGCTTGTTCATTTCTTACTCTGGTGGGCCTTCTGTTGGACAGCAGCTAGAGAGTCCAACATTGCAAACATAATTTTACCATCCAGGTACTTAGTCTGATTTCATAGTGCTCAAGTGTTTCCAAGTACTTTATTTTAAAGTTAAAATTTAAATCTTTTATTCCTTTTTCACAATGTGTGTAAAAGTAGTTTGCTTAGACTGAAAGGAACACTTAATTTCACTGATGAAACAGTAAAAATGCAGAAGATAGATTCCTTTTGTTTTCCTTTAGGGAAAGCTGTTTGCTGACTTCAGACTTTAACCAGATAAATGAGTAAACAGAACAGAAATAGCTGAATATCATCACGTTGAAACTCAGATATGTCAACACACACAAGGAAGAATTTGGTTCAGATTTTTGATAAGCCATTTAAAGTCAAAATCAATAAAGTTTCTTATTACATTAAAAAGCAATAAAACAAAATTTAAATTTCAAAAAGCATATTGCTTTTAATGTCCAAGCAAGTATGCGTGTGGGGTCAGTTGGTGATGCTTTTCTTTTTTACTCAGTCTAGTTTAAAAGTTCACCCTTCTTTGGTTGCTGAAAATTGTCAGGAATAACTGTGCTTCAAATGCTCCATGAGAGACTATGTGAAGACTAAATGCTTGAATTCTCTGGGACTTCTCATCCAGGTATGCAGGACCTTGTAGTCAGAAAGTTGATTATGTCTTCCGGATTAACTGGGCTACATATCTTGCAAGTACAGAGCAGATCATTGTAGCAACCTTCGATGGCAGAGGAAGTGGATACCAAGGGGATGAAATCATGCATGCAATAAACCGAAAACTGGGAACCTATGAAGTGGAAGATCAAATTTCAGCAGCCAGGTGAGTTACAGTGAAATGGTCAACAAGTGTTCCTTCTTTTCCATGCTTACTGTGCAGGGAAACAGGTGAATGTTTTGAATGGACTTCTTGAAATTACTGGCTAAAACATAAATAAATTCTACATTCATTTTTTTAGAATGTCATTTATGGGCCAACCATCATTTTATGCGTAAAAAGAAAGGAGTTTAAGGCTTTAATAACAAGTTTACCATATTGCTGTTTTTATAGAGGTGGTAACTGTCACATCATTAACTAAAGCACACTACGAATGAATGGGTAGCTAAAAGTTTTACTCCAAGCTTTTTACAAGTTTCTGTTGTGAGTGAGACTTGCATGTGCTATAGTTCTCAGCATTTATATTGTAGTTGATCTTCAGCACTTGATCCATGCTGTAGAACCTCACTGAACTTAATGGTGTCAGTATGACTCTTAATCATATAGAATTCAACTTCTGGGATTTGCCTTTGGGGATTTTAAAATGTTAATGAGTTTAAACAAATAGTGTTTCAGATTTTTTTTGTTCTTTTTTAAACCCTCACTTGGATTTATAGATGTTGATGTCCCTTACTGCTGCAATTTGAATGTAGCTTTTTTACTTAAAAAACAAACAAAAAAAAAAGTGGCGGGGAGAAGTATGTGTGTGGGGAGACAGCAACAACTGAGGGATGTAACCTAATTCCAGCAAATGATACAAATGACAGTGGGTGCTTAAGTGTTTTTGCAGACCTTCCAGGTTTTACAGTCATTGTGAAGTGGGACATGCTTATTCATAGAGGTGAAAAGGGCCAACATGATGGAAAATAGGCACATCTGTATCATGGCAGAGACCTGCAATCCATTAAGCATTAAATTATTCTGTTTGCTTTTAGAAAATTTTCTGAAATGAGCTTTGTTGATAAGGACAGAATAGCTATTTGGGGTTGGGTAAGTACTCAAATTAGTTTGGCTGGCTTATTATTTAATTGTAACATTTTTTCTGGTGTCAAGGTGTGTTTGTTGCATGCTTTCTAAGTATGTGCAGGACTGCATGCAGGATTTTGAACTAAATTGCTGATGGTGGGCACCAGTGAATAAGTTCTTGGTGGCAAGATGATGCCAGTGATGCCTTTTCTTATGGGGATAAACACCACTTTGTTGTATGAAGTCAAGTGTGTAATGAACTGTAGCAGGAGGGATTTTTTTTCTGCGGAAATGGAGGACTTAATGCATTCCAATCTTACTCCTTATGAGTCTCAGGATGACTAGTTGAAGAGCAGTCCTCCTGGGGCTAGGTTGGGGGTTACGTATCCTGGGTATCAAACCTGTGGGCCAACAGAATTTCTTTTTCTTGAGTTTTCGGATTGTCAGCCTCTCACTAGGTACATTCATTTTGCCAGGTTAGATAACGTATTCATATGTGGGTTTTTAGTAAGTACATGTAATTACCCATACATGGATAATTAGTAAGTACATGTGTTAGCTTGCTGATCTCATTGAGAGGACCTGAGTATTGAAGTTGGAGCAAACATGCGGTTTTGAACTAAAGTTACCATTTGCCTGTAATCTATTTACAAGAGAAGAACGAGATCCAAAAATTACTCTTCTTTTTGAATGTGGGTGGTCACATTTTCTTAAATAACCTCTTCAAACTACAGTGAGGGCAGTCATTTGGGCAGTCGGTGACATTGTTTAGGTATCTTGCTGCCTGAATGCTCAAGTGTGTCAGATATTTACTCATCTGTGTATCAGGATAGACTGCAAGTGAATTTTCTGTGCATACCAAGAAGTGTATTGCTGCACAGTTCCTCCCACAGACTCGGCAGAAGATCCTTCACTCCCCAGTCACAGTCTTGCTCTTGACGCTTTGGAGGAGAGTTAGCAAGTGAGCTGCCATAGGCCTACTCTGAGGGAGTTGTAAATTTTTGGGTGCCCTGGTGCAACTACTCATCAAGCGTGTTGTGGGCCTCTGCTCTGCTTCCACCCACTTCACCAGCATGGAGAGGGACACAGCGGTTCAGCAGTGTCTTGTTTCCTGTCTTTCGCTGCTGCCTACGGTGCTACCAAACACTGTCATTCCAAGCTGAGTCACAGTTCAGTGGCGTTTGCACCCCTTTTCCACAGCAAGCACTCATTCATCAGAGCCACAGCTGCCATGCGCTGTTTGATGCCTGTTTCCCCCACTGAGCAGGCTGGGTGAGATCTGACCCAAATTCAGAATGGAGTTCATTAATATGAAAAATGCTGAGCCTATAAATGTCTGGTGAACCGTTTAGCAGATGGGCCCCATCCTTTTCTTTCTGACTAAAATAACAGCAATGTTTTCTTCTCAGTCTTATGGGGGATATGTGACCTCCATGGTGCTTGGCTCTGGAAGCGGCGTGTTCAAGTGTGGAATAGCGGTTGCCCCTGTGTCACGTTGGCAATATTATGGTATGTGATGGCTTCCTTGTTACAAGGATTCCCATATGTCTTGCAGTGCACATGCTGCAAAGTGTTGATTCATAGTGCAGAACTTTGATTATCTACTAGATGCCATGTAAATGCCATTTGGTCTGTTTTTATGAACTCATGGGTATTGCATTTCAGAATCTTATTTCTTATTTTAAAATTGCATTTCAAATCTTATTTCTTATTTTAAAAAGTCAGATCCACAATTCCGTGTAATCTCTATGACTTTTAACGATGCAAAATTGTTATAATATTTGTAGTAATACCACAATGTGTCTGCAGTTGTATTCTAAAGCTGCTACGTGTTCTGAGGAGCTGAGACCAGTACTAAATGTCAGCAATCCATCAATAGTAGTCTTTGTGTATTTAAGATGCTACTTTTTAAAAAAGAACTGTGAGACCTAACATCAAATTTTAAGTCCTTAAACTTGTCTCTCAAAATGACAACAGAATTTGAATGTCCTCTGTATTTTTCTTTTTAGAGTATAAAATCCAGATTTTATAAATCTAGTCTTATGCATAGCTTGATGTGAGCTAAAACTGAACAAGTGGACTAGTCTATACATGCCTCAGGCTTATACTGTGTAAGGTTGTATATTGCATGAGGCTATAAAAACAGTTGTAGAGGACCTCCTCCCAGATTAAAAAAAAATATGTAATTGACAATATAGTATGTGTTAATACAATGTGACTATATATTGATATTTTTCTTGCTTTGATGCATCCAAAAACTTTCAAAGGAAAGCTTTCCATGGCAAATCTATGCTAAATAAAGGTATAATTTATTCTGCATCTAGCACAGAGGCTGTATAAGACTGTATTGTGTGCTCTGGCTAAGTCAGCAGCTCAGAGCATACTGACGGATATTTGTAGTAGTCTATTGGGGATGTAGAGATGTTTTCAGTGTTTTAGACATGAATATTACAGAATGTCAGGGAATTTATTTATTTATTTATTTTAATTTTAAATAAAGATCAGTACCTTTAAAATACATTTTGAGTTGATTAGATAAAAGAAAGGGTTATGGAGGCATGTATATTCAACACCAAAAACCCGTAACAACACTGGTAAGAAATCCAATGGATATTAGAATATGGTGAAATAGTGTCGGTTTGTATGACTTAAAATAAAGCAGCAGATCTACAAATGTGATAGGATATCATGCTGAAAAATCTGTGGAAAATCAAATACTAAATTTTGACTATATATATATATGATAGATACTAGCTGAGTCCCAATCTACTATATTTTCATTTCATAGATTTTAACTAGTAAAAATTTACATAAAATTTCTCAGCTTTATTTTTTTCAAATGCCAGTCATTTACTGAAAGATTTTCAGCTATTTTCTTAGGCTTACTGAAAGAATAACAATAAGGTAACATTGACACAAAGTACTTTATTAATATTCAGCATTCAGGTGACCATGGCAACAAGATTAAATATTCTGAATAATGATGGTTACCTACGTGGCTCATTGTGGAAAATCTGTTTTAAATCTTCTATCTCTTCTTAATTTCCAGTATGCGTTCTTTTTATGTGTAACAGACTGAAATTTCTGGTAGTCAGAAATACTGAAAAACTAAGTAGTATATTCTGGTTTTTTTTTATTACAGATTCAATATACACGGAGCGATACATGGGCCTTCCTATAGAAAGTGATAATCTGAAAAACTACAATGTAAGAAAGAAGTCACTTCATTTCATTTTTATGTGTTGTTTCTTTTCTAAGCCACTCTGTTGTTCTTTACACAATCTTGTTTCTTCCCCAGGGGAAGAATTAAGTGTTTCATCATTCCAGTGTTAATTGTTGCATTGTGCTTTTAGAGGCTCTAGTTTCATGCATTTGGATTCAAACAAGGCAGTTACCTCTTGCTGTATGCTGTGGCTTTTCAGTTGTTTTTTTTTGTGTTGGTTTTTGTTGTAATTTTTGTCGTGTTTTTGTTGTTTTGTTGTTTTTTTTTTTTTAAGTTCAATTCCATTTGGCTACTTTACAGACTGTAAAACTAGCTGTAAAAACAGTTTTATTTTAATCACCAGGAAACAAATTTGCTTTAAAATTTAATATGATCATGGGAAAACTATGTTTTATTTAAAAAAAAAAAATGCACTGCATTTCTCTGAAATTTATTTTAAAAAACATCATAAATTGGAAAGTTCACATCATATCCATGTTGCAAACTTCAGTCAGGGAAAAAAAAATCTCTTAGGAATCCTTTACAGGTAGGCAAATCTGTCAGTACTCTGATCCCATACCCAAACTGCAGACCAGCTGGAAGCCAACATCATCATCAAAATACCTGTTGATTGTTTATGTTCATTAAAGAGGAGTAACATTGCTCCTCTGTGTACCATTGCAGTAGCTGCATTTTGTTGCCTAAAGGGCTTTTTGAAATTCCAGGCAGCTGAGAGTAGGGCAGAGCTGCCCAAGCCTTCTGTAAAGTGTTAAATTTCAACCCAAGGTCGAAATACAGCAGCTCTTGGAGAACAGTAAGTGATCTGAGGAGTACTTTGTCATTGGGATTTTTCAGAGAGGTTTAGCCCTGGTGATGCTGGAACCAAACACGTATACTAAAGCAAAAGAGATGGGGGCATTCTCTCATTTTAGCTTGGTAAATAGGTTAGAAAACAGCTTAGGAATGATTGTGTCTTGGAGGGGGGGGCTTGAAATCAGTGTCATGGTTGAGGGGGAAGGCTGGAGGTTGTTGCACTGACTTGAAAGTATGGTAAAACATTTAAGTACATGCATATATGCGATGAAATACAGACTGGAACGCCTGTTTTGCCATATTGCTACAGTGATCTAGTTTTGTCAGTTGCTGTATGAGAAGCCCTGGTCAAAACTGAGGAAATCAGCTGTGATTGCTGGGAGACTTTGTACTATGTCTCTCTGAATCAATGAGCTGCTCAGACCCACTGGGGACTGACCAACAGCCTGCAGCAGCCCGCCTGCCTTTTTCCAAATGTGTTTCTTTAAGGCAGTGGGAACAGTAGGAGGTCTGTGAGGTAGCAGTGTAAATAGAAGTTACTGTCGTTGTGTAGAACGAACGTTAACGCTCTGGGTGCACAAAGTCATTCACCAGCTTCACGGCACAGATGGCAACAGAGGACTGTTTAATCCTTTCAAGCCAGGAGTCGGATTTTCTTGGCATAGGATTCATTGCTGGCAATGGCCACGTTGAAACTGCCAGTACCAAAGAGCTAAAGGTTTCAAATGTGTTACTCAGAGGACTAATTGGGGAGAATGGTGGTTAGATGGAGGAGGGGTAATTGCACAGATCAGATTGTCACACTTCACTGCTCCTTCTAGAGACAGGAAAATGCAATTTGAGGAAGTCTTCGTTCATTGCTAAAAGCCCCAAATAATGCATTACTTGGAATTTGCTTTTCCACTTAAACCTGGAAGGGTGGGTGGGTAGCTTGAGAGGTGGGTTTGTTGCTTTTCATAAAACAACAGTGGAAGAGTCATGGGATTTTGTTGTTACTGAAGATCATTACTGACTTCAAGCAAGGAATGTGCTGGGCCCCTTTCTTCAGTGCCCCAGACCCCTGGCCTGCCTCCTGGTCCCTTACCCACTGCTAAGGGTTATTTCCCGAAATGAATTTGTTTAGCAAGTTGATGCAAAATATGTACTGAAAAGCTCTCCTAGCTGAACCTGTTAAAGCATTTTTTGAACTGTTAACTTCATACTGTCAGGTTTGCATGCTGCATCATATATTGTCTATCCTACTGCATCCAGTGTAAACCTGACTTGAAAGGTTGCATAAAATCTGCACTGTGTGCCCTGGTTTAAAACAAATGGGACTGTGTACACATCTGCTTAGAGCAGATGTGTGCTGCTGGTGCCTTCCTAATGCACAGAGTATTGCTAATGACCATGATGTGATATCATCTCAAGAAATGATATCTAGTGGTGTTGAGAGGTACACCCTACCTTTGTGTTACTATGACATTAGGTAGGGTGCACATTGATAGATGAGAAGTCTGGCTTGTTAACAGTCTGAGGGATGGCTCGCGATCCTTTGAGGAGGCTAATTAGGTGTGATCAGTGCCTTCTAGGTGAGTTGTAGGGTATTAAAGTTAGAGCTTTGTAAAAAAAAGGAACAAGCATGGGTGGAGCTTCCAATATAATTGTGAAAACATCAGTACAGAACCTAGGCTGAATGGGAGAAAAAAACTCTGCATAGGAAGAACCGTCCCTGACGTAAAGGACTTGAGACTAAAATGGGCCAGACCTACAGAGGTCAGATGCAGTAGCCACGTAAAGCATACCAAAGAGACTGTTCAACTTGTGAGATTATTTTGCAGTTCACTCTGAATTTGATATGCTTTTGGCAAGTGTTTGAAACAGTCATAGATTTGGCAATCCTTTTCTAGCAGATTTGAAATGTTCAGTCCTTAAGAACTGCTGCATCATTAGGTTATGCAAAACAGGGTACAATTTTGTAAATATGCCATCTTGTACTGATTTGACATTTGTTCTATTATCTGAGAATATGCTAAAGGGAGAGAGACCTTCAGTTTCAGCCAAACCTTAACTTGTTTGTTGAGTGCTGATAAAATGTTGACTGCTGTGTGATCTTTAGAAAAGCCAGTTACACTCAGCAGGGCCTAATTCTCAGCACTTTTACACAGTCCCTTTTCAGAACTATTGTCATGACAGTGTAACTATGAAAAGGAAAAGGGTAAATTAAGTTGTATTTACATACAGTCCACTTGGGGTTTGTTTTTTAGCTGTTGTTTTGAGTTAACTGTGTCTAACTTCAGATTGCTCCCTACCCTACCGTCTTTATTATTTATTTTTTTTTTTGGAAGAAATACTATGTCCTTAAAGTGCATTTTAGGGAAGGGACTCTCTGTGTTGAGTATGGGTACAGCAAGTCGTAAATCATTTGAAAGTAATTAAAAAAAAAAAAGTATCTCTTTTATGTGCACCTTACTTCTAAAGTATTTTTGCTTGTTTAATGCTTGGAAGGGGAAAATAAGTGACATTTTCTTTAAAACTGCTTTTGGAAAGTCAAATTCCCAGAATTGTACCTCAAGTTGGCCTTCCAGTCAGAAGGTGTGCTGTCCCTTAAGCCAGCGTTTATTTGCTGGAAGAGAGTTTATAAAGATCCATCATTTTGCACATGCGCACAAGGCAACTTGTTTCATTCAAAGGATACTGCGTGTGTCATTTTCTTTTTTAATCACTGGGCTGATGTTTGTAAATCATTCTTTTGGTTGGCTGCTGTACCAGTGCTTCTTGCTGAAACAAAATCCCCTCTGCAGATTTTGGTGCTCTTACCTAGCAATTCCTACTGTATGATCCCAACATGTTTCCCAACATGTTTCAGTGGATGGTGTTATGCTTCCAATGTGCACGGCTTTCTATACATTATATGGGACTTCTGCTGAACTGCATCCTTCCTTTATCAAAAGATAGCAAATACAGTGTTATGGATTGGAGGTGTTTCGTTGCTGCTTTTTTTTTCTCCCGATGAACTTGTTTTTCAAATGTGGTTGAATAATCATCACAGAGAACAAATTTCATTTATGAAAGCTTGAAGTATGCTATTTTTGCAGAAGGGAAAAGGGATTTAATATTTATCTTTGCTTTAAAGATATTTTGCGTGTGTGCGGTTATATAAGAAAAGCAAAACATTTCTGTTTCTTGGTATATAATGTATTTGACATTTTTGTGTACTAAATACAAATTCATGCACAAGGATACAGCCTTTGTATGAGGAAAAAATTTTGTTTCTAATTTTTACTTGTTTTCTTTGTCATAGTAGCTTTTAAGTTGCAGTACTATATAGAGAACTTCCACAGGGATTCAGGCATCTTCAGCAGAGAACCCATATAATAGTGCTAGTGGAAGGAAATTTCATCAACGTATTGTACCATTATTTTGGGTAGTTTATCAATCCTCCACTATCTTACATTGTCCATTTTCTTTTTTCCACCCTCATGGCAAAACACTGTCCTGTTCCCTTTCCTTGTCCAAATGCAGTCTCTGAAGTCTTTACTTCCCTCATTCTTTAGCACCTGGTACACCTGCTTATAGTGCTCAGGTGATTATTAGGCCCTCATAAGTGTGTCACTTAAGTAAGTGTTTTGAATTTATTGAGTTAGTTGCTGATTATTTTTTCATTGCCATATTATCTTTTAATTCCTAAAATGCAGCTTGACTTCTATTTATAGATTTGGTCTAGTGTTTTGTGTTTTTTTTCTGTCAGGCATGTCTGTATTACACTTGGGGGAGAGTGTTCTTTAAAACTTCTCGGCCATATTTACTTGAGAATGAGGATATACAGGCTCTGTTGAATTTAGCTACAGGTAGTCTGTAGTATACATCTTTGTGGGGAAGATAATGGACGTAGTCTCTGTAATATCTTCTCCTCACTATCATAGGGTGCACTGTTGCCATGGCAACATTTTTTAACTTCTCTGCAGTATCACAGAAAACCTATGGCAAGTGGTGTGCTGCAGGCTAACAACGTGTTAGCAATGCATTAAATGTCTATCTCACTCACAAAACTCCTTCCCCTCTGGAATTGCCTGTTACTTTTCAGACATAACCCTTGGTAATAATTGCAGACCAGTGCAGAATGGTTTGTGTGAGCACAGTGCTGTTGGGTATGTGAACATGCTACTTTGTGGGAGGTGGGCAAGGGTTGTTGCTTTTATCTCAGGAACCCCAGACTGTGTCAACAGGAATCAGTCAGTTGGTAGCAAATCATCTTCTAACAAATAGCACCTTTTTTTTTTCTTTTTTCCTTTTCTTTAATTTCAGAGTTCAACAGTAATGGCCAGAGCTGAAAAATTCAAGGAAGTTGAGTATCTCCTTATTCATGGAACAGCAGATGGTGAGTTGCAGTTAATTAGACATTTTAGTATTACAGACAGGTTTGCAATTCTACTACTGACAAAACAAAAGCATGAAGGGGCAAGGCTGTTACATTTACGTCAATAAAATAATACAGCTTTCTGCAACTAATTTGTGTTTCAGGCAGCAGTGCTGGGGAGTCTTCTGTGTTCATTGTTTTGTTTTTTCCCCCATAGTAGTACAGAATCAAAATTTTGTTTACCTTTTTCCTTTTTTTCCTTCCTTTTTCAGATAATGTTCACTTTCAGCAAGCAGCACAGATAGCCAAAGCTCTTGTGGAAGCTGAAGTGGATTTTCAGGCAATGGTATGTCTGTGTTTTGTTTATCATATTACAAATGAACTTATATTATGAGAATGGTGCCATCAGCTGCTTGTAGTTACATACAAATCAATTGCCATCTTAAATGAAAGCTCACATACTTGCATTTCACCTTCAGTAATTTAAATCTTAACATAACTTTCCATGTATCTACTGCATAAGAGAAAAAAAATGAAGCAGCTGCTTCTCATATTTGATCCTGTTTACCTAATCTTTCATTTTGTTAATTTTTTTGTGTTCTCAGTCAGGCTAGTCCCAATCTTAGAGACTATTCAGCCAACTGTGGGTGTATGCTATCTTACTATATAAGAAAATGGTAACTTCAGCTAAGTCCATTTCTTTACCCAACATATCCTGTCCATCATTTTCAGTGTTTCTCTACTAAACTTGTAAGACCGCATAGTTGCCCCAGCATACTGTGCATGGGAACTCCCACAATAAGGTGTTGGTGCTTCCTTTACTACTTTTTCCCAGACTTTGGGAACAATAGATAAAGTACAGAATGAAGGCAGGTGCACCAATGTATATGAGCTGTCCTTGAAGGGCTGAGGTGGTGAGAGTGGACAACCCTCTGAACTGAGGTGGTATATCTAGCCTCCATATGGACAAGTAATGTATATATTTTGTACTTAGCATGACTAGCTGGTGTATCCCACAAAAATCAGGAACAGAAATCACAGTGGCTTCCTACCCCTTTGCCTCAATGCTGAATTTGGCCTCTCAACAGCTGGCTGAATATTTTTTTGGTTTGTTTGTTTTTGTTTTAATGATGTCTATGACATTTGATTTGTATGATTTGGGTGTAGCAAGAGGTAACATTCTCTATGTATTTTCTTTCCTGCAGTGGTATACCGACAAAGACCATTCCATCACCGGTCAAGCACATAAGCATATTTATACTCACATGAGCCATTTCATAAAGCAATGTTTCTCACTGCCCTAGCACAGGAATGGCACCAGCATTTTGGTGGTTAGTCGTGGGTTTTCTCCATAAAACTCTGTAGTTAATGGACAATGAGCCAGTATAAACTTTGGGATACCTGAATATATGATGAAGTGCTAATTTTTATAAAGATTTCTGTTGCTAAGCTACTATTACTGATTGCATTTAATCAGGTCATTAACATCACCAGGATGTAAGTAAGTTGTAGACTTCCAGCAAGCATGGTACTTTCTTGAATCAGTACTTTTTGTTTTGTTATTTGTCTAAAACTGAAAACCAAAAAAGTTTCTATGTGGTATAATGAATAGTGAAAATAACATCAAATAGGAATTGAAATGATCATCACTTGAGGAATAAAAACAATGTTTTCCAAAATAAGAGCCCTGTGATTATTTCTGTGAAAACACAGATAAAACTTTGAACAGGTTTTGCAGAAATTACCTTAATGTATGATCAATGATTACTTTAGAAATAGTACCATGAATGCTGCAATGTTAGTATTTTCTATGCAGATGGAAACACTTTGTTAACTGCAGTTCCTTAAGTTAGTATTTTCTCTGCAAACTCTTAGATTACAGCTGAAAAAATCTTGCAAGGAATGTTTGTAACCAGCTTTCACTAAAGATTTTAAATGAAACCAGCAGCACTGAATTTCTTTCTGCTCTGGTAAACTGTTATCTGGGAACTCTAGCAGCTCACTGTTGTTTCTTTTTTAGGAGAGAAACTGCTTTTTTTTTTTTTTTTTTTTAATTTCCTATTTTCCTATTTACCAATGAGTAGGCTAGCATAAAGCACTACTGCATGACCTGTCAGTTAAAGTGAGGAGTAGACTGTAGGTCTCACATGAACATGCTGTTTAGCAAACCTGCTCTTCTTTGCAGCTTACCCGTAAACTTCTGCTTTACCTTCAGCACTCCAGGTAGGCTTCACCATCTGAAAATAAGACTCATATTTTCTTAATTTCACATAAATCATATAACTAGGTTGCGTCTGTTCTACAAAATGTGCTGCTTTAAAATAATAAGTCATTAAGTTACAAAAGGATGTATATTCTATGGTATTGAAAATGCTGCTTAAGAAATAACTCCTAGAATGTTACAAAAATACATTAACTCTAAGACTTACAGTGAAATTTCTGTTTTTGCTTCATGGTATCATGATATTAGATATGATTAGCATGTGATTGCATGTATGTATGTATCATGATGTAAATGATGTGACTGTAAAAGTAGTCATACAGGGAGATAAAGAATGGGGAGGCCTGAATTTCTTTGGTCTGGTACATCTTCCCCAGCTCCAAGAATAATGCAGACAATAAGATAATAGAGCTACCTCAGGGAACTGACAAATAGCACTTCAACTTAAAAATGCATGAGCACAGGTAAAATACCTAAAACTTAAGCCCCAGAAGAAAGCCAGCTAGCTTCATTAATATACAAAGCTCTGTTCTGAGTCAACTGGTTGTGGCCAAAGTACTATCACATGCTAGAGTTAGGCACTTATATGCTAGTTAACACTTTTTAAAATATTAAGAGGCAGCAGAAGCCTGAAGCATGAGTTAAAGTTTTCTGTCTGGGAGGCTTCCATTCTTTGGTTCAGAACTTAGTGAAGCTCAAAGGTGTTTTAATAAGACAGAGTTAATAATTTAAGTATTTGGGGATTGGCAAAAGTAGTAGGCTTTAAGGCCTACAGGTACAGGATTTTTTCAGGAGCAGAAATCTGGGGCTCTAAGAATAGCAGGAGCTCCCACCATAGGCAGTAGCTGAACAAATGATCAACCATTAGACAATTTAAGTACTATTGCTTTGAGGAATTTTAAGCCGTATGAACTTACCTCATGACCTGTTAAAGGACCCAACTACTGCTGCCTGCTCCACATCATCTCTCCCATGAGCTAGTTGAACCAACTCATGACCAGTAAATCAGAATCTAATTTCCACTCTCTTCCTGGAACAGGTCAGTTATATGCAATCCCTGATGGCACACTTACTCTGTTTGTTAGAGACACACCATCTACACCACCACCACCTACACACAGCTAGCCAATGCTGGTTATAGTGCATGTTTCAATAAGATCCCACTTGGAAATGAAGTAGGACTGAGTTATATAATTCAGATATTTGTGAGGCATATTCAAGCATCAGGTAGCCATTTAGAATACTGTACAACGTTGCATACTAGCATATTTTGCAGTGTGAAAATAAAAATTGAAAATTAGTTAGGATAAATATTTATTTTCACGTAACATTTCTTAATTGTGAAAAACACAATAGTCTATTCACATGTACACATAAACTTCTGTAATAAATTACATCCAAGAAATGAGTAATTTTGACCAGGAATATGAAATTAGAAGTAAATATAGCATTACATTTATATTGTGTGATTCAGAATGTTGAGATTAACATTGGAATAGCATTTAAATTCACACAAGAATAGAGTGACTGTTTAAAAAAAACACCCTGGAATACTGAACAGAAATACAGAATGCCATTGAATACAGTGATTTCTTAATATTCTAAGAGTTGGTCAAGTGAAACTAATACATCTTGATTGTATACATTATCTGCATCAAAGCCAGCAACATATTAAAACACCACCAGGCTGCTTTCGGGATGAACCAGTATTGAACTTCTATACTAACCTTAAAACAATTGGAATATTATAATTTATCATCAAGTACACAAAAACAAAGCATTTAACCTTAATGCGTTGGCATTTTTTCCTAAATTTATAAATACAAACATTTAATTAAATGTAAATCCTTCCTTATGTCCGTTACATGTCTTTCCCCCACCCCCATAGAAATGGTCTTTAATGGGCTTTGATAATGTCAAGTAAAATTTAGAACAGTGACCCTACTGGCTTGCAGCAAAACACAGTTATCATTTATGGCTGAAGTAGTAAAACATACATACGCACTCACACACACACACAGAAACATCAGAAGGAATACTTTAAATGTGCTGGAGATGAAAAGTAAGTCACATGAGGACTATGGAAAGATTAGCTATTTTGAAAGCTAGGGATGTTAAAGCCCTGTAGCTGAGTTCTTAGAAAGATTATGAGACTGCAGATGCTCATTCTTAGGATTCAAAGCAATAGTGACAGCCTTCATTTAATCATTTAAAAATTTATCTTAAAAAAATTTAAAAATTAGTAAGTTTCAAATAATCCATAAAACTTTTGCTCCACATTTCTATTAATTCAATACCTAATCTCATAGTCCTTGTTTTACACAAAAGAACAGCTTGAAGGATCAGGCAATAACAAAACTGTTAATGACAAATGTCTTTGCAGTAGCTTTAAAGCCACATTTTACTTAGCAATGTTGTTTCTAATCTTTTAATCAATATGTACTTTATAGAATAGTGAAAAGAGCTGTAACAAAACCAATAGCAGGATACCCATTTTAAGTATTATACACAAACTCTGAAATTAACAGGTTTACAGTTGTTAATAGAACAATATAAATATGCACTTTATGTGGCTGTATGTTAGGCAATAAAGAAGAAAACCATTGGGCAGGTGTTATAATTGCATGGGCGGTATAGTTTGTATCTACAAAATTTTCCCTATTATAAAATAATGGATTCAGTAATGACATAATGGAGTTGTTTGGCCTACCACAGCAACATTCGTACAATACAAGATACTGTAATCACAGGTTGCATTTTAACAAATACTGTACCAATGTTTCACATCAAAGGATGTGGTGGTGTTTTTCAACCAAAGTGAGAGAATGTTTATAATAGATACTTTAATATATATATTATATATATATATATGACTATGTTCCAGTTACATACAAATTTCAATATTAAATACACTGTATTAAATCAAGGAAAACTGCACAAATACAGAATCTGACCCTGCAATCTCCATTGCAAGAGTGATCCATGACTTCAAAATGACAATTTGAGGAGGAAAGGATTATCCTTAGTAGTTTGTTCATGAGTCAGATCAGTTCTCACTTAAAAAAAAAAATTCTTAAATCTTAACTAGTCAACTTGGGTCTCCTAAAGTCATTTCCTCCAATTAAGTGATTTTAAAAAAAAGAAATCTAACAAGTGTTTCAAGTTCATCTTGAATGAAGATTAAGTATTCTCACACAGGAAAAGTAGCAAAATACAGTACAAATCTATTAAGAAGAAAGTTGAATTTGAAAGAAACTTTGCTTGTTAAATGTATGATATGAATACTGATAAATGGCCAACACTAGCAAAGGAAATCAAGATTTTTTGCATTGGCTACTGCAGACTTTTGCACAAATACTAGACAATGTAGACATTTAGACAAAGGGTAATGAGATAAATATTGCACTACATTACCTGTGCTAGTTTGAGATGAAAGACAAAAGTTACAAGATCAAATCAGTTATACTTAGTGGTTGTGGCACTCCTTTCATTCATTCGTAAAAAAAATTAACTGAAGAACAAGTCATAGACAAGTCTCCCGGTCAACACCTTTCCCTGAGTCAGCTTTCTTCTCTTTTCTGATTTCAGCACTAGAAAAAGGGAAAAGAAAAAAAAAAAGGTTGCAACAGCAGTATCATACAGATTAATGATCTACCTGAAAACCGATACTGCACTGGTATTTTGGTTAATTTTTCATGCGGCATAGCACAAACTGGGAAGCAAGTGAAAGTTGCTGTGTTGAATGGTGCAGAAGACATCAGCCAGCATTTTAGTGATGAGATAGATAGAGAATTTAAGACGTACGGACAGACAAGTCAGCCCAGCATGCAAGCAAAGATAAACACTTCTTTGTTTTTGGCAAATACAACTGTTAATTAAATAATGGTAACATACAGTTCCCAGACAATACCAGCATTTTCTTAATGGCACAAACAAGAGGTTACAGTAAGTATTACTTTTTTTTAAACATGTATTACATTGCTCAACATACATTTTTGAAGGAATGTTTTAGGACTAAAGAAGGGCAAGCCAATTTATAACTGTAATATTTGGCTTTCACCTTTCACTGGAGAGAGCAGGCAATGGCAGTAGCAGAGGGGGTGACAATACTCCCCCCTTGGAGCTCAGCTTAGTGTATACTTGCTCACGTATACATATAAGGAATAACGCATTTGGTGGGTTTCCTTTGTTGTTGTTGTTTTGTTTGTTTTTTAAATAAGCCTGAAAGTTAGATCCCATAAAAGCCATATTACCAGGAACTCTGAAGCAGAGTTCAAATTTAGATTCTGCTTTTTTTCCAATTAAAACAATGTTGATTTGCCTACAGAAAACAATACATGTGCAAAGCAGATTTATTTATATATTTTTGTGAAGAGGGTCCTAATTTACAACAATGTAAATAAATAAATTTTTTTTAAAGTCCTGTTGTTGCAATGAGTCTTAATCACACTACAAAAATGC